GTCGTTTTAGTATAACAGTGTCGAATTTTCCTTGAACCGGGTAAGGACGTTTTTGGGAAATCATATCCGGTGACCGTAGAACCTTACCGAACATTATGGAATGTCTGGAATAATTGTTTTAAACTTCATTTGACTAGTTTAAGGATGGATTACCCTCTCTCATTGTAAAATGACCATTTTATCCCTAGTGTGTCCTCGGGTCGGTTAAGGAACCGGTTAGCGATTCGGATCCCCGGTTTGGGTCGTTACATAAACTTAATATTTTATAAAAAATAAAATAAAATAAGATTGTTGCAGTAGATTTTTAAATTGTCTATTTCTCTCTGGTTATGAAGTTTTGTTAAACAAATCTTATATTTCTGGAATCCTTGTTTTATAAACTTTCCGTACATTTATTATTTATAATATTTTGATGTACGGCTTATGAGATATGAATTTTTGAAGTTCAGAAAAATTAAGATTTAAATAAAAGGTATTTTAGTCTAAATATTAACTCTTTTACCCCCTTAGATAGTTGAGAGTGATTCTTTGGTAAAAAATTCGATAAGGAGGATTTATTGAAAAGGGTTATAAGTCGATGGGGTTTATTCGGTAAAAAATTAAATGAAGAGGGTTTATTAAAAAATTTTGCAAGTCGAATTAAATTTTTTGTACTTAGCTGATTACATTAATCTTAGTTGTTTAAAGAATCTAATAACAGTGCCAAAAATAATAATCGTGGCTGATATTTTTCTTCCACATGAATCATGATACTTGGGTATTGTTGTTTTATAAAATCATGAAATTGGAAGGCATTGCCATGAAAGCCTTTATTGGTTGTTGTCATATCAAGTTTTGTTGTCTAAGACAATTATTCCAATTTCTTTCGTAGGCAATAAAGATGTTTGTTAAACATGGCAAGAACTAAAAGATTAGGAATCATTATCCTATTTTAGGACTCAATAATTTTAAAAAATTAGCCCACTAAACTAGCAAATACTTTAACTTTCTTATGGTCTTATATGCCATACCAGATTTAAATATATATTGGATGGTAAGGCAAATTCACATACACATGTCTTAACTGAGGTTCAAACTCTTGACCTCTTAAGTTTTTCTTATTGATTGTTGTCATATCAAGTTTTGTTGTCTAAAACAATTATTCCAATTTATTTCATAGACAATAAAGATGTTAGTTATTATCCTATTTTAGGGGTCAATAATTTTAATTTGGCACTCGTATTGGATTAGCCCACAGCACAAGCAAGTACTTTAACTTTCTTGTGATCTTGTTGCCATGCCAAATTTAAATATATATATTCAATATATATTGAATAGTAAAACAAATTTACACATACAAGTTTCAACTAAGACTCGAACGTGACGTTTTAAATTTTTCTTATTGGGTGTTGTCATATCAATGAAAATTTTGTTGTCTAAGATAATTATTTCAAGCAAATACTTTAACTTTTTTGTGGTCTTGATATATATATATATAATTTTGGAAGACAATTATTCCAATTTCTTTCATAGACAATAAAGATGTTAGTTATTATTCTATTTTAGGGCTCAAAATTTTTAATTTGGCACTGGTATTGGATTAGCCCACTGTACAAGTAAATACTAACTTTTTTGTGGTACTGTTGCCACATGACTATGTGAGATTTATATATATATATATATATAGAGGATGGTAAAACAAACAATTAAGGCATATACTTCAACTGAGACTCACTTTAACTTTCATGTATCTTATTATTCTCTATGTTTTAAAAAGTACATCGCTTTTTAGGTACCGTGACTCATAAATGCCAAAAAGTGACATCTTTTTTGGGACAAGGATGATACTATTTAAATATATATATATATATATATATATATATATATATGCTTTAACTTTCTTATGGCCTCGTGGCCATGCCCATTTGGTACAAACTAGATTTACCTACACACATACACACAGACGTAGAATAATATATATAGAGATTGTTTCTAAGCTCAAGCCAGATTTGCTATTTATTAGATTAGGTCAGCAAAGAGTTAAAGAAAAGAACTAACAAATAATTGAGGAGTAGTGTGACAACTTTGTAAGACAATTTTCCATGCAATTATTAATTAAAAATAGCAGGAAAAAAAAAAAACTACTAATTAAAAAAAGGAAAATCTAGTGTCACTATTAGCTGTCACCCATGTGTATGTGACACCCCATTTCTTGGAGTGGATTTTAATAGAAGAAGGTTCTATTGGAATCCAAGTAGATAGATACGCATTGGATTTTCCCTAATAATAGATTTTAATCGATCATAATGCTCATTTAGGAATTAACTGTCTCTTATGTTATAAGGATTTTCAAATTCTTCATTTTCAGTGTGTATTCATCACAATAATGCATTTTTTATTCAATAGAAACTGATTGAGTTATACAGATTGTATTTTCTAATTGCCAAGGAAGGCCATTTTCAACACTTCAAGTGTCACAAAGACAACAAAAATTCTTCTTCTTCTTCAACCTTTTTTTTTTTTTTTTAATTTAAAAAAAAAAAAGATTGAATAATGTGAAAGGAACAAAAATCCTAATTTTAATACTCGTATATTTTAAAAAGTAGAATCGTCAACAAGTTTGTATATAATAGACTCAACATGTTTATGCATTTGATTATTTATTTATTTATTAATTATTATTATTTTGTGTGTGTGTGTATAGGAGTAAATTTACATGACTTATAAGGCAATGTCAGATAAAACTAATAAATTACTTACTGTAAATTTTACTACTGATTAGACAGTTGAATTAGTATAACTAAAAACAATTAAGAAAAAATTAAAACTTCAAATAAAATTTTAATATCTTTCATACTCGGTGATTTGGTAAGTAAGTATTTATTCACCATTTTTGATTTGGTAATTAAAGATGACATGTCTATTTATTACTAGTTTACATCAATGAGCAGTATATTATAGATCCCCTATAAGGATTTAAGTATTATCCTTTTAAAATTAAAATTAATTATTTGATATTAAAAGGAGATAATATTGTCATTTCTCATTGCTAATTAACTACGTTAAGTAGTATAAAAAATAATCTTAGTACTTCAAGGAAAACTAAAACACTTATTTTTTATGATATATGTTTAAGGTTGAATTTGAGCTCTAAATAGATTTTAACATTTTGTCTTCTTTATAAGAGCATCTCCAGTAATATATTAAAATAATCTTTTGTGTTAAATATGTAAGGCCATGATGTGTTAATTTTTTTTTTTTATTTCCAGCAGTCTGTTAAGATACACTATCACGTCATCAATGTGTAAAATTATTGTGTGTTTTATATAACTTTTTTACATACCCACATCGTCATATTTTCTTTTTACTCCCTCTTTTTTATCCCATTAACGAATTAACTTTATATTAAGTAGGTTTATAAAAATTATGTGGGATCCAGACATAACACTGTTTGGTTATTGTTATTGGGGGATATATTTTTATACAAAGGTATAAAACAACCGTAGCTAAAAATAAATAATATAAATTTTTTGTGTAAATTATTATGACACATCATATTTATAATATATATATATATATATACACACACACAATGGTTAGAGATGCTCTGAATTTGCAACTTAAGTTTTGTTCAAATCAGCCTCAACTTGAAATAAAGATTTCAACTTGACTTAAGCTTAAACAAAAGAGTAAAGAATCAAAAACCAAATTGAAAGGTTAAAATTTTAAATTTTCAAATAAAAACATTGTAAGAGTTCTTTGTCAAAAAAAATAAATAAATAATAGTAATAAAAAATACATAAAAAAATCTTTATATCACAACTTTCAGTGTCTAAAGAACAACAAAGATCACTTCAACCATAAATCCTAAATTACTAGTGGGTGATTTCTGCCATCCCGACATATAGTGTAAGAACAATAGAGAACATTTCGACAGTGAATACTACATTACTGGTGGGTGAGAGGATTTTGTTCCGCCAAGTAGAAACTAATTTTGACGTAGTACTATATATATATTCCCCAAAGCTTAGTACTACATTAAAAATAGAAAATAAAATAAAATAAAAGTCCTCCATTACCTTATGCACATCAAAATTTTCTCTAAGTAATACACCATACTATAGGAACGGAGCTGGCTCCGGTGCCCCCGGAAGGTATATTTTTTGTATAAATATTACTTTTTGAAATTTATTTTTTTAAAAAAATCTTTTGAAAATGAAATATTTATACATATAGGTATATAATTTGTAAAATATTATTTTGCGTCCCATGAAACTAAATCCTAATTCCATTGACGCATACCATATTATTTAGTAATATTATAAGAAGATGACATTCAGTGTTGTAACAACATAGATCACTTTAGTCCTTAGGGGCTTGATAGAGTTGGTAAGGTAAATGACATGAGTATCACAATATCTCAGGTTCGAACCTGTTCATTTTTATTATTTTTCTTGACTTACTTTGCTGCTTAATGTGAAGTCAGCGTAGACAGCTGAAAATTTACCTTATAATTTAAGCCTGAATGGAAATAACAGCGAGAATTTCGGCATCTAAAAAAAAAAAAAAAAAAACACATAGATCACTCCAACAATGGATCTCTCGTTAGTGGTGGGTGGGAGAATTTTGTTCCTCATGGTAGAAGCTAATAATCTTAGCATTGTACAACTCTGAAAAAGAAAAAAACATCCCTATAATTTTCAATCCACATCGTGGAGTCAGGTGGGCTCCACTGACTCCTTTATGAAGATTAATTTTACTATTTTATTTCTTTTGCTGTGTTCATGAAGATTGAAAACCTTTTACTAGAGAACTCAATCCCAATCACCAGAAAAACAAAAAAATAAAGTAAAAAAATCCCAATCACCAGCACTCCTCAATGTTTATCATTTTATCCATCCATGTGTCATCCTAAGCTACAACTTGATCAATCAGATTCATCTCCCCAAACAGCGGGACCCACATGACCCCACCACATGCAAAACCCTTATCTTTCCCCCACCCCAAACGGCCAGTCAATCTCCCGATTCTCCACCCTTTTTCTTTCTCTCTCTGAAATAAAATAACATTTTCTCTCTCTGGAAACTGAAGCAAAGTCAGCTGGAAGCCCTAATACAATGTGCCATACGTGGCATCCTTCCATTGGTAAAGTCTACATAGCATGTGATGACTGATATCTATCTTATAAACTGTATTTGCTATATATATCGAAGTGGATCGCCCAAAGTGTTGTGCACTTTTTTCTTTATAAGAGAGAGAAATTGGTTCTAGAAATGTTCACTGAGTTGATCCCTGGTTTACCCGAAGAGCTCGCACTCGAGTGTTTGACTCGGTTGCACTACACCGCTCACCGAGTGGCTGCCCGAGTTAGCCGTAGATGGCGTGACCTTCTAGAGAGCAGAGACTTCTACTATCACAGGAAGCAGACGGGTCACACCCACAAAGCGCCCTGCTTGGTCCAGTCGCGACCGGTTCATTCCGAATCGGGTGGCTCCAAACCGGTTGCGCAGCCGAGTTACGGAATCGCCATATATGACACGGTGACTGGGGTTTGGGACCGAGTTGACCCGATTCCCAAGTACCCAGATGGGCTTCCTTTGTTCTGTCAAGTGGCGAGTTCGGAGGGCAAGCTCGTGGTGATGGGTGGGTGGGACCCGGTGAGTTGGGACCCGGTAAAGGACGTTTTCGTGTACGAATTTACCACTCGGAGGTGGACTCAGCGCAAGGACATGCCTTCGAACCGCTCGTTCTTCGCAATCGGTACCGTAGAGGGGCGAGTATTTGTCGCCGGTGGACACGACGAGAGCAAGAACGCGCTGAGTTCGTCCTGGGTTTACGACATGGGGAGTGACGAGTGGACCGAGTTGAATCGGATGAGTGAGGAGAGAGACGAGTGTGAAGGAATTGTTATTGGGTCCGAGTTCTGGGTTGTGAGTGGGTACGATACGGAGAGCCAAGGAAGGTTCAAGAGCAGCGCTGAGTGCTTCGAACTCGGAACGGGTCGGTGGAGGCGAGTCGAGGACGCATGGAATGCGAGTCAAGGTCCCAGGTCCTGTGTGGGTGTGGGCAAAAATGGAAATTTGATCTGCTGGGCAGAGTCGGACTCGGCGGTCCGGGTTAGGGTTTGTGCGGTGGGTTTGGATAAACGGACCCTAGTGACCGGGTCGGAGTACCAGGGTGCAGCACAAGGGTTCTATCTTGCAGAGACGAAGGAAGGTCAAAATGGTAAATTTGTGAAGATTGATAACGTTCCTGATGAGTTCTTGGGATTCGTGCAAACAGGATGCTGTGTTGAAATCTGATTAGTAAGAAGATATTTGTTTGATAGCGGTTGAAAAAAATGAGCTTTTTTGAGTGTGTGTTTTTTTGATACGTCTAACACAATATATATATATATATATATATATATATATATATATATGTATATGTACACACATGTATAAACACATATATGAAGAATGTAATTTTGCATTTCTTGTTTCTTTTTTAGCCTCCTTACTGTTGTTGAAAATCTTTCTGTTTGACTAGTTTGATCCTTGTTTTTTAGTTAATTTGGATCCTTGATTTGATTTCTATTTTAAACCGTCTGTTATCATCATTATTTGGTTCAGTTATAAAATAATAATAATAATAAAATCTAACGTGACAGGAGTGTTATGAACACGTTCTCACTTGTATGGATATGCATTTTTCATTTTGGAATATATAAGTGGAATAAGTACTAAAATACTTGATCAATTTCATACATGGGAGAGTAACCTCCCATTATGTAAAATAGTGACAAAATGTACGTTTGTAAAAAGGAGGATGATTATAGTGATAAGATTTGTAAAAAGAAGATTAGTGGTACCACACACTAAACACCATCATCAGACATGCATATACTCCCTAAACACCATCATCAGACATGCATATACTCCTTTTATGCATAATCTAGTATGTGTGTGTAGTTTCACGAGTTATTTTTCACAGTGGAGTGGGGACAAGTTGAAGTGTCCAACACTTCCCCTCAAGAAGTATGGGGTTATTGCATCTTTATCTGTTGATAAACGTGGGTCTTGACAAATATCTTTTTAGTCCTGTTGGCCACTTGTTGGTTGATTTATTAGGCAAGAGTGAGAAATGAAATTTGGTCACGTTCGCGTGGGTCTGAAAAATGTTGTTGCCCCCAAAGTCACTTTAAACGTTGCTTATTTCCTTTTTAACTGGACCGACCATCAGACTTCTATTGTGAGATATGCTTTGTGTAAAAAACATGGTCCAATTTCTTTCTTTAGCAAGGGATGGTCATTTAATTTCATGTCTTCAAAATTGAATTTTGCCATGGACTTCATCTCTTTTTGTTAACTCATCAACATGATTCAAACACAATACGAGATAAGCGGGTTTGGATTGATTTTAAACGGATTTGAGTCATAAACGGATTGACTGATTAACCCATTTATTTAATCGTGTCGTATTAATCGTGAATATGACCTTTCGATACACTTGGCTATCTTGAGCTGTTTGAAATTTTTTTTTTTACTTTGAATATTGGAATTAATTGGAACTTATATTTTTAGGTAAAATACAATAACACCCTTGAATTTTGACATAAAGACATCCATATATAAGTTGACCATTTTCTAAACAATGATACCCCTCAAATTTGATAAAATTTCTAAAGTCACCATAACAATGGTAAATTGACTTTATTACTCTTTGACATAAAATTGACAAATACGATAATTTTTTATTAACTTAAATACCCTTAGATTAAATAAGTTACCATCTGGAAAACCCAAATTTTCTCTCCTTACCCTTTTCTTCCCTTTCCCTTTTCAAATCCCAACCCAAATAAGCCTAAGGGTGTGTTTGGATAGACAGAGGAGAAAAGAAAAGAAATGATAGTATTAGTTATAAGAGAAGAGAAAAGAAAGGAAAGGATAGTAATAATTCATAAAGAAATGATAGTATTAGTTATAAAAGAAAAGAAAAGAAAAAAAAGTATAGTAATAATTTATATTTGTGTTTAGATAGATAAAGAGAGAAAAAAAAAATGATAGTTATTTTTGTTTAGATAAGATAGAGGAGAGAAAAGAAAAGAAAAGAAAGAATAATAGACAAATTATTTTTTTAACTTTTTATAACCACTTAAAATCACTACTATGCTTTCTCTCCCTATCTTCTCAAAATTGAAGAGAAAGCAAATAAGAGATAAGGAGAAATAACTATCCCTCCACTTAACTTACTCAAACACAAACTTACACTATCCTCTCTTTTCTTTTCTCTCCATATCCCTCCAAATCAACCCTACCAAACACACCCTAACAGAGTGACAGGAAAAATCGAAGCTCATATACGTAAGATATCGAAGGGAAAGCCCGATAATAGAAAAAATTAGAAGAAAAAAGCCTGATAACAAAGCTTCTCCTCCCTCTCTCTATGTATATAGACGACATGTGCGTATACACACACATATATATCATCACCACCACTAATCATCCCCACTACATATACCACCGCCACCGCATCATCATCACACCTCAACCACCATCCATCATCATCATCAAATGAACCACGGTGAAGAGTAAGGAAGGCGGAACTGCTGCAAAAAGATCGGCGAGCTCGCAATGGAACCAAAGTTCTCCAACTTCAACAAATTGAACTAAAGTTCTGTCAATGGTGAAAAACTCACAGTGAAGACAGTGAAGAACAGACCGGTGCAAACTGTCAGCGGCAAAGAGAGACCCAGTTCGGTGAGCTTACCCAACGCCGGAGTACACAAGTCCTGTGAAAATACCACGCGTTGAGGTTAACAACGATGGTGGCAATGGTTGTTCGGCAAGGGCTGTTGTGAATGCTCTCGCCACTCGATTCATTCTCCCTGTCTTCGACAATGACGTCAATGGAGCCCGATCGTGATCTAACCCATGACGATGAGGGAGCCACAACAGAGCCCCAAAAAAATGGAGGCCAATCAAATCTGCACACATGGATTGACCACAACAGAGCCCCGCAGCGAGTGAAACATCAATTTCTGTTGAATATGACTCTGGGGACACCGACGGACCCATCAGTGGAACGTGTCGGTGACGAGACAATTGGGGTGGCAGCGAAGGAGGAACTACTTAAGGGGTTCTTGAAGGATGGAGGTGTCGGTGAAGGGATGAACGTACCGACATGTGAACCGTGAACAGAGGAAACAGTGAGTTAGGAGAGGCGGCTGGAGTCTTAGACAAGTTAGGCGGTCACCAGAGGCACAACTAAAAAAAAGTCTCAAAATATTTTATTTACCATGTATATAATATATTATAATTATTTCCTAGTTGAACATCAATTCTAAAAAATTTATCTCTTAAAATAATTCTTTTTTTTTTGTTTTATCTCTCCTTATCCATTCATGCCTTTTCATTCAAGAAAAAAATTATTTATCTCCCAAAATATCTCAAATTTTTTTTTTATCTCCTAAAATATCTCATTTTTTTCACAATTTATGAAATCCTCCTCATTCACGGTACTTAATATGGGCCAAATATTTATATTCTTAAATAATATATTTTTTCTTTGTCTATCTTATGCACTTTTTTTATACACGTTATTTTTTACACCAACACGATATATATATATATATATTTTTTTTTTGGGTAAGTTGTACCACAGTAAATATCTAGCCGTTGCATTGGAAAGTGAAGAAACTTATCAAATTCTATTTTTTTTAGATTTTATTTTATTTTATTTTTTCTTATTTCTAATCCTCACGTTCATTCTCTCATCTCTCAGCAAATTCAACAAATTACAAGTTATCTCCTTTCTCAGTCTTCTCTCATTACAACTTTATAATTTTCTTTTTTCTCGATTCAATATTCATTAGTTTCAAATCTCAATTTCAAATTTCAAATCAGGTTCTTTTTATTTAATTATGTTTTAGTTTTACTAATTTTTGTTATTATAAATTTATATATTTGTTTGTGAGTTACGAATCTTGTAACTATTTTTACCCATATTTTTTAAAGCAATGATGATTTTTAAATAATTATTATTTAATAATTAATATATCACATATTATAATATGAAAAGGCCAATAGGCCCCTAGTTACATTGAGCCGCCCCGGTGAGCTACTTGTCGAGCGGTGGTTGGAAGGTGTGGAGGTGGATGTTGTGTCCGGAGCTTTTGGGTTTCGGTATGGATACAGATCCTCACTCGAGGGGTCTCAGTATGGATACGGATCCTCCTGAGGACATCTCTCTCCTGCTTTCAAATTTTTCTGTGTACCCAAATTTCGTTTGCGGAATCCGTGCCAGGGTTTTTTTTTTTGTGCTTCTTCGCTGTTGGTTTAAGATGATATATTTATAAAAATAATGTATACACACACATATATAAAAAAAAAAAAAATATGATTAATTCTAGAAAGAAAAAAAATGGAGAAGAAGACTCTCTGCACAAGGAATACCATTTTCAGTTCATTCCAGTCCCAACTCCAAGTGGCTTTCTTCATTTAGGAACACAGTTAATGACGGTAACAACAATGAGGCCCGTTTCAATGGTGTGAGGAAGTTTTTTTTCTTGGCAGGCGTGAGGAAGTTCATCAACATTGCCTGATCTCGTTAGAGACATCATTGCCTACTCCATTCATTATTAATTATTATTTTTTGTTTCAAGAATTAATCATTTTTTTCTTATATATATATATGTGTATATATTATTTTTATAAAGATATCATCTTAAAACAGCAATAAAAAGTATAAGAAGAACCCGACGGGTTCCCCCAAGTGAAATTTGGGTATGTATGGAAGTTACTAAAAAAGGAAAAGAAAATTTTGATCTTGTATCTAAGATTTAGAGAGAGAAAGTGGTTGAGGAGAGAAAGTTGAGGGAGATGTGGCGAATGACGTGTCTTAATATTAGCCCCCAGATTAGTTTTGGATAAAGCAAGAAAGAGATGTCCGCAGGAGAGGATCCGTATCCCTGGGTATGATATAGTGTTTTGGGGTTTACAATATACATATACATATAGATATATACATATGTATATGCATATAAATATAAATATAAATATAAATATATATAGAGGTGTTATGAGTGTATAAGGGTAAAAGCATCAATTAAGAGTTTTGATATTTTATAATTTTAATTAATAAAATATTAAAGGGCAATCTTGACTTTTTACAAAATTTAAGAGGCTATTTGGATCCAATTTTTGACGGGATGTCATTGTCCAAAAATAGGCCAATTTATATGTGGCTATCCTTATGCCAAACCTCAGCTCGTATCATTTTACTTTACCTTATATTTTTTATAGTATTTATCGTTTGATTAAGTATTAAGTGTCATATTTTGAAAAACAGGTCATTAAATAAATTAACAAGCATAATTCGTTTAATAAACGTGTCAATTTAGTGTTTAGTATCCCTATTAAACGGGTTACATTTGAGTTTACCATGTCAATTTAGTGTTTAGTATCTCGACACAATTATTAAACGGGTTATATTTTAATTTACCAGTTTAATATAATACCAAACAACACCAATACGAATTGCCACCTTTACTTTTTGGTTAGAAACAAAAGAGTGATGAATAGTGGAAGTGACAGACTGCATGTGCTTGATTAGGATGATTTTTTTTTTATTTTTTCACAAAACTTGTAGATTAATTCTAATTCTATTATATAGTTCCCATACAAGTTACAATATATTTTTTTTAATGTTTGAATGGATTTGTTTTAATTCAATCATTTTTAGCCTCATCTTTTATTTTTCCTTTTTTCCTAAAATAAAAAAAAAATTATATATTTATCACTCAATATCATTTGATCAAAATGAAAATAAATATAGATGGGAAAAGATTACCAAAAAACAAAAACTGGCAAAGGTTTAGCTCAAATGGTAATATCAGTTAATTAAAATGCAAATAAATATAGATGGGAAAAGATTACCAAAAAACAAAAACTAGCAAAGGTTTAGCTCAAATGGTAATATCATTTAATTAAAATGCAAATAAATGTAGATAGGAAAAGATTACCCAAAAAAAAGAAAGAAAAAGAAGCAAAGGTAGGTACGGCCTCTTTTTCATTGGAAGGTTGAGGTTTCAGTACTCAATGGGCACAAACGGATGTTAAAAGAGTGACGGAGAGAAATACTCTGTAAGAAATACTTTGTTGAAAAATTAGAGTTACAATTTTTTTTAAGAAAAATCATTTTCTTGATATTTCATCAATTCTAGGATGTGGATATGGACAATTTCAATAAGATTTCATTCTTAGAACAAAAATTTTAAATTTAATTTATTTCATCTATTCCATGATAGGAACAGGAGATCCATGTTACATCATGATTTTGAATTAAAGGAGGCAAATCTATTCACTTTATCAATAACTGCGCATATATGGAGATTAGTATAATTTACCTAACTAGGCCAGAAGTTAGTATAATTTTTCTTTTTGTGGATCAAAATTCTACCTAAGATTGTACCTTATATCCTAATCTTTAAGCTAAAGTCTACCCACTCGGATGTATCAATAAATGGTGTGTCACAAGTATTCTTGTCAATGTTACGTAAGAATAAAATCTCTTTCCTCATTTTTAATGTTAATTAGTTTAATTTAAGAATAGTGATACTCACACCGAACATTTACAATGAATTGTATAACCGAATAATTTTTAATTGGTTATTTATACCAAAAACCACTAAATGGTGAACTCCACTTCATTATTTATTACATAATTGACCAATTAAAATAGTAAGCTTGCAACTATTCAATGCAAGAATCATTTTCCTTAACTTAATGACTATTGAGTTAATCCATCAAAATTATATTTTTATTTATCTTTTTGCTAGATGTAAAATAGTCCACGGTCTACTAGGCATTGGTTAGACATCTCAGAATTTGTGTTTAAAAGGAATTTTCGATTTTAGAAATGGTTTAGAAGAACTTTTGTTTTGACAAAATGGTATTCGTAGCCGTCTCTCTTTTGTTGTTGTTGTTTTTATGGCTTAGAACAAATGCAGGTCACTGAATTCCCTAGTACTCATAAATAAAAAAAGATTTGATTATTGCCATTATTACTTTAGTCTTTAAGAATATATATATATACAATTCGGCAGCTGAAATTGAATGCTATCTATCTGTCTTATTATAAACAAGAAGTTGCCAGTCTTCCATCTAGAAAGTAGCTGATTGATGCTGATTGCCTATGGCAGCAATTTAGCATTCAACATAAAGAAATGACCGTTGACTGCCATTTTTCATAAGTTTGCATTAAAAACCATACTATTAGAAGAAAAATGCATCCACTTCCGATATATAGAAGTCAGGAATTCTACCTCCAGCAGCCTGTCCCGCAATGGTTGGCGGCGGATTAAGTGTGGCGGCGGCTGTGGGAGGAACTGCACAGAAGCCTATTGAATTCATCTGAAGAAACTCCTTTTGTGTCTCAAAATTCCCCACACGAGACCCACAACATTAGCACATCACCCAACCCAACAGTCTACACTGGTAGGTGGTGTAAATGATCAAAAATACTACTCGTAGTTGATACCGGTCAACCCTGATAGCATATCCAAGTTTGCTCAAATGTCTATCCAAATCAAGATCAGCATCCACCACCACTGTTATTCTATAAATCAATTCCAAATTCCAACGTTAAACGGGTCAATTTGTGTGCATCCATGACCGACCCCATTACCCCCGTCATTCTTTCCCTACTACCCCAGCTTCTAGAGACTTTTATAATTCAAACCAACACTTAAATGATGCATTCAAACCGTAGAAACTTTTAGTCAAACTAAGTTTCAGAATTATGCGATTCATAGAAAACATCAACATAACATCTCATCTTCCGTCAATTGCAACCACCACCAAAGTCAAAAAAGATAATTCAGTTTCAGAATTATGCGATTCAACAAAAACATCAATATAACATCGGTCAATCGCAACCGGTTCACTAACTCCAACAATTTGGTCATCAAAGCTACTAATAATAGTACATCGGTGTAATGGAAAACTCACTGCCCTAGATTGGGTACCTTTCTATCTATTTACCTTGAGTAACCTTCAGGGCTCCGACTCCTGCTCCTGACTGGACTTTGGCTTGCACTCCTCCAACCATAAGAAGACGACCTTGAGTAAGACCTCTCTCTGTAACGTCTGCCTCCAGGTGAAATTGACCTGTCTCAGAGTTCAAAATTTATTAGCAAAAGGACATCTTAATTTTCTACCATTCTTTGTAAAAGATAAACAAGCAAAACTAAGGTTAGCCAGCACATCATACCTGGAGTACCGACTTCGCCTAGGGGAAGGGGAATAGTAATACGGGCTACGGGAATAATAACGTGCACTGCGTGGAGAACGAGAATAACGACGGGGAGACCGCCTACGATCATATGAATGACCCCTGACAACAGAATTCAAACCAAAACCCAGTCAAGAATCAGTGTGCATTTCGGCTTTTAAGTTGAGAGAGAGCGGAGTGTGTGTAATGTTTTCTATAATTGTATGAAAAAAAATACATGGACAGTTCCCCTAATTCTTAAGAGATAAAAGGATGTCAACATTATCACTGTCAAAGAGAAGGTAAAAATATATGCAAATTTATTTACAAATCAGTACCTAACACTTTCCCTTGCCCTCATCTCTGAAGGCTTCTTTCTATTTTCCTCAGCAAATACAACAGTTAGTGTCCGACCTAGAAGAACTTGACCATCCATCTGATATTTGGCTTCTGCAGCATCAGCAGGGTCTACATATTGCACAAAACCAAAGCCTCGTGGCTCCCTGCACCATAAATGAGTTTCGAGTCATGAAAGTAGCGTTAATATGGTTCAAATGTACCATTCCACAGAGAAATATATAAGCCTCATAACTCCTCTGTTTGCAGGGCACATGATCCTGAATCCAAAGTATTCAGGGAGTTCAAGATAAGCACAAATATTCTGCTAACACTCCACCCAAATCAAATAAAGCAATTAATCACTGCTAACCTTGCACTGGTCAAAGTTTTAATTGAGTTGAAATTCTTCAAGACTTGAACTTCTTCTCAAATGTATTCAAATCCAACTTCCTTCAATCTTCATGTACATTAACATCATCTTGAACAGAACTCTTATTACTTGATTGGTAACTTCAACACTTCCAATAAAACAACCAAATTCCCATAAAACAATTGTAGATCATAAAGAAAGAGGCCCATCACCAAACAGTTGAGAGATAATTTAGAGGGACATTGCCAGGAGGGAGGGAGGCAAATACTATTTTAAAAACATTTTATTACATATTAACTGAAATTTGATTTATCAAAAAATATTTGCTCAAGGTTATATTAAATTGTACAGGACTGAAAACAAAATTGGAAAACTGAGGTTATGCTCACCCCGTATAGTAATCTCGCGGCAAGTAAATGTCCTTGAGAGGACCAAAATCCCCAAATGGTCCACGGAGATCTTCCGCCCTGAAAACAGCGTGAACATACTGACTTTATTAGCAAATACTTTATTAAATTGAAGCAGATTTAGCACATTATGGTACGACACATTATTAGCAAGTACTTTATTAAATTGAAAGCAGATTTAGCACATTATGATACGACACTAGATACAAAATATTACTTTTGAAGCATTCAAACTGAACATCCACCTAAATGGCCACTCCTCTCAATCATAGTGATAAATGAAATAGAGGAAAAAGCAAGAAGAAACACAGAGGGGGGGGGGGGGGGGGGGGGGGGGGGGGGGGGGAAGAGGGAAAAACTTAAAAGCCGACCCCCCCACACACACGCAAAAAATAAAATAAAAAACCGTCAGCCATTTTACCAACACCACCGATGCCACGCATTCCGACCAATCACCACTGGCCATCTTCCTCTTGAACGATCATCACAGAGCTATAAATCACCTCACCCGTGCCCATTGTCTTTCTCACCCTCATTCCCTCGGACAAACTCACCGTCGGCCGTCTTACCCCCAATCAGTTACCCCTGTGTGTTCATTTCTCCCTCCCTTACACATGAACATTCTCTCTGTACCATTCACGCTTACACATGCACACTTTTGTGCGTGTGTGTGTGTGTATGTGTGTGTTTTGGGTCAAGGCTTTGATAAAAGTGCGACCTGTTAAACCAAACTGATTTGAACCATTCTCCTACTGTTCGGATTGATTCAATTTAGACACTTTGATCAGTTTGGTTCAATTCTATTTTTCTTGCAGGATCGGTTCAATTTAGGGAGATTGATCATCTCGGTTCAGTTCCATTTTTCTCAAAACCGAGACCAAAATAGTTCCAATTTGTCTTAAAACCGGTCTAATCCAATCCATGTGCACCATTTTACTATAAATGTATCGCCCTATTAAATATATGAAAAATTTACAGACTTCTCTTATTGATAAGTGAAAATACATCAACCTCCCACGTGTTCTAAAATATTACACTTGATCTACCATGTTAGATCTTGCAATTGAACATTGAAAAGAAACACACACACGCCATGCACACCCCCCACTTTGCCCCTTTGGGGACTCGAACGCTCGCCATCCACTTAGGAGGTAAAGAAGATATCACTAGGCCACAAGACCCTTGGTGTTTTACCCCAACATTTAAGTAAGTTTACTACTGTACCCACATAAACCCCCATTTTTTATAATCATTCTAAGGGAAAAGTCCAATGTTCTAAATTTTCATTTGTTGATGTAAGTAGAAAGAAATTCACCAACGTTAATTGTTAACATAAGGAAAAATTTCTTACCAAATCATAAACTTCAAGGGAGGTCAGTGTAATCTATGGAAACATAGGAGAGATTATTGTATTTTAACTTAACTAGGGGGAAGACAATGCAATTTCCTAATAAAACGCAAATAAAACAAACCCATGCCCAACAAACCTAGAGATACCAAAATAAATTCTCTCTACAATGCAGATGGCAACACATCTGAATGTGTAATAACACATTCCACAAAGCGCACACACACACAAAAGTCACTTGCTATTATGCATTGATTTAGAGAAGATCAAACAAACATTACATGGAATTATTATAAACAAAATGTTCTCGTAGTGAGATTCTATGCCCAAAAATTAATACCATAACCATGAAAGCATTAACTAGCTGATGATGAGTCAAATAAGGTTAGGGTAAAAGCAACAAAAGACATGGGCTATCGTAAGGCTGATATTGAAAGATGTTATGAGAACAGACCTCCAATCACGATGGAGGTTTCAAATTAATACCATAACCATGAAAGCATTAACTAGCTGATGATGAGTCAAATAAGGTTAGGATAAAAGCAACAAAAGACATGGGCTATCGTAAGGCTGATATAGAAAGAACAGACCTGCAATCACGATGGAGGTTGCGGACCAAAAGGCTGGTAGGAAGATCTCTACGACGACCTCCATCGCGACCCCTAGGGCTAGGGCTCCGATATCTTCTGTTGTCACCCCCTCTCGGTGGTGAGGGACTGTAACTGTAACTTCTACCCCTCATTTGCTTACAATTTCAACATATATTCATAGGTAAGAATAAATAAGTACACCCTAACAAAATCAGAACATAAGAAGCTAAACAAAACTCAAATTATAACAATACCCAGAATCAAGGCAGCCAATGTTCCAATTTCTCTAGATAGGGTCTAATCTTTATAAGAATCAACTTATTTTGGAAAATTAAAAAATAAAGAATCAACTTGTCTAGAGCACAAACCGAACAAACCAAAGTTGGGTTACTTTCAGTCTTTTTACAAATAAGTTTTTACTTTCTAGTTTCTCCAAAATTCACGGCACGAAACCGAACATGGGAGAGAAAAATCAAGGTGAACTAGCTCTAGTAGTGCAATTTAAATAAAAAAAGAGGTGAAAATAATAATAAATTAGTTTAATTAAATCAAGGGCTGTAACTTACAGGTACTTCCTCACCTTCAAGTCCCCATTAAAGCAAACTGGCAAAGTGGTTGTGTGGGTTTCAAATAGGGGAAAAATTCCGATAAGACTGTTTTTGCAATATTCAAGAAACAAAACACATAATAAAGTGAACTAGCCTAATCAAACAAACACATAATAAAGTGAACTAGCCTAGTCATATAGGTGAAATTTAAATAAAATAGAGGTGAGAAGAATAATAAACTAGTTTAGTTGAATCAGATAAGAAACTAATAATAAACTAGTTTATTTTGAAATATCGAACAGCCACATCAAGGAACTAATTTCGTTCTCAATTTCATCCTAATTAGTCAAACTTTAAAACGAAAATTTTCAAGATGCATCGTTGAATAACAATTCAATAATCAATGAAACAAAATGCCAAGAAAAACCCGTCCATAATCTTCTGAATGAATATCTAACTTGAATCCAGAGCTAATTATGACATTTCAACAAAACAAATACACACACGCACTTATATACTTACAAACGTATATTCACACGCACATTTATATAATGTGAAAGGTCTAATCAGAAAAATACCTCGTTCGAAACCAATTGACACACTGATTCACAATTTCCGCTCAAGCGTTTCTCTCTCCTCTCTCTCGCTCCTTTCTTCTCTCCTCTCTATCCCTCTCTAATTTCTGTGGTAACTGGTACTATCCTATCATTATCTGGAATCATCATATTCCAGAAGTTTCTCTTTGGAAGATGCTTGTTAATGTACATGCAACGATGTTGACACCCTAGGATTCTTATGAATCAACGATTAATATTGCGTATGAATTGGGTCCCACATAAATGTTGCGATGATTATTTAATCCTACGGCTGATGAGATAAGGCAACAACTTTGGGTCCGGTTAGTTTAAGCTTCTTTGGGTCAGGCCCGGTGTACATGGCCCCAAATTTTAGGCCTCTCTTGTCTCATATGGGTTATACATTTGCGGATGGAAACCGATTTTCATAAACCATAATAGATAGATTGAAAAGTTTTTTTTTTTTTTTTTTTTTTTTTTTTTTTTTTTTTTTTTTTTTAAAAGAAAGGAGATTTTTATTAGATTAGGGTTTTGAAGTTTCTATTTGATTTAGAAGTGTTGACTATTTGAATTTCAATCACATTTATTGAAAACATTTTCATTATTCAGTGATCTACTTACTAGAGAGTTTAGATCTCCGAACGGGTATACCCGTGTTCGAGTCCCCAATTCTCTAGTTTGTCACGAACAAATAAAAATAAAAATAAAAATAAAGAATTGTACAATTGCGAACAAACATAATTTCTGGAATAAGGGCGGCTCCCTATTCAACACTATGCATGGTCCCTTGGTAACTTCTAATTTGATCAGGGAAACCACAAAAAACGAATCTACTAATGAAGGGTACAGATTCGGTCAAGAGGAAGAAACTTATAATATCGTAATTGCTCATGGTTATTTTGGCCGATTAATCTTCCAATATGCTAGTTTCAATTTAGTATTCTTTTATTTATTACCTGTGTCTACTATTTGGGCATAATACCGTCACCCATTCTTACTAAGAAATTGAAAGAAACCTCAAAAACGGAAGAAAGGAGGAAAAGTGCAGAAGAAACAGATGTAGAAATAGAAATAACTTCCGAAACGAAGGGGACTAAACAGGAACAAGAGGAGTCCACCGAAGAAGATCCTTCTCCTTCCCTTTTATTATAAGAAAAGGAGGATCCGGACAAAATCGATGAAACGGAAGAGAGAGAGAGGCCAAATGAGTTAGATCATGACTGTTGGCATAGGAATGGCAATTCCCATTTAATATCAACTTCTGGACTAACTTTACTAGATAGTTTCAGCATAAGCACTAGTTCAGGTTTGGAAGCCTTGTTTAGCCATTTCTGCAGAGAGATCTGTATAAACCCTAGCTTTTGGATAACATAAAAATTAACCATCAACAACAGTAATTTGAAGTTCCACTGAAATGCACTTGTTTCACTTATTTGTTTTTGTAGGCAAAACTTCCAAGAATATTGTGCACTGAAAAAAAATATATCCAAAAATAAAACCTGCCACTAGAATACAAATTATATTTGGCTGATCAAGTGTTTTTGTATTCTTTGAACTATCAATTGTACAACAAAATTTACATGAAGAAATTATAGGTTACACTGAGGATTCAAAGCTATTCTCGATATATTTATTCTCTAAGCCGTTTTTGCTCTGCTGGAAGCCGGCATAACCAGGGAGCAGGGAAGGTTTCCACCTGTGTGTAAATTGTTAGATCTAAGGTTTGCAAATAGCCATCTTTGTGCTGTATGTGACATTCGGTAAAAACTGATTTTAAGCATCATCTGCAATCACTTCCAACTACTGTGGAAAGTGAGCACAAGTGAAGGTATGACCTAGTTCCTTTTTAGATACCTTGTTTGCTATGAGGCTTGCAAACACAATTTCCACATCTCATTAGCTCTTGCCCTTGTTAGACAATCCCAGGACACAGCCTTATTTAAATTTTTTTTTTCTTCTCGCTGAATAGGACACAGCCTTATTCAAATAGGGGATGCACTTTCATTGTCGCAAACATCTCCCGGGCTCAAATGGAGAAAGAAGAATATTCAATTTAGGGCATAGTGAATTCGTTCAAGGAGTCGAACCACCTGATTAACATTATTAGGTGAAGGAGGAGAGGTCTTTGAACTCAACACAACGTTATCTGGTGAGCCGAGAGGTAATTGTAGGACAGCCTCTTGTTGCATGCTTGTAAGCTCCAAGAACTGAGCTAGCATATCACCATCAAGGATCTTAGGTACTCCAGCCTGCCAACAGAAAAAAAATAAGATAAAATATGGGACAAAACAAAACAAAACAATTAAACAAGGATGTTTAAGGAATAACAGAGTTGGATTGATTGATTCCATAGAAACCGAAGATCCGTTTCCTTACATTCTTAGCCCATTATCAGTAACTAAAAGGTATGGAAATGAGAAAGGGGCGAAGAAAACTAAGGTGGAGAAGATCATTGAAGTAGGGAAAAAATGAGTTGCATCAAATTTCCATGTTCTTTGTCTTCTTTTTTTAATAAGAATTTGTTCTCGTGCGCTGATGATCTGATGTAGAGTCATGTCCAACTGTCAATTGGTTAGAGAAAGACGGGAGCTATTTCCAACATGAATGAACCGTCTCCACCAGAATAGAAAGGGAAAAGGATAGAAGAAGCATGTTGACTTTCACGGTTTTTACTATAGGCAACTGGTTGCATGTCAACTACCTTGCCAGTCATAAAGGAAAATTATACGTTGTAGTTTTTATAAAAATAAAGGGTCAAGAGCGACAAGCACAAATATCTCATACACCAGGACTCCAAAATATACAAAAGCTCAATTCAACGCATTCGGTAGAAGGCTTGAGGGAGCCCATTACTTCACATAGATAGACTTGCAGTCGGGATACCGCCATGTGCAAGATTGCCTCCCTTTATAACTTCCGAGTTTCTCTGGGTAATGCCTCAATCATTTTTTGTTAAAATATAAGTCCTCACAATCAAATTGAAAACACAAAATGAACCAAACTATATAGATTCAAAATTTGCTTAATAGCTCACTTATTTTTATTTTTTTATTATTTTTTTTTTCCCAGAGAATTCTTGGCTTGTATAAATATATAATAATTAATTCCATTGAAATGATTTAAAACTTAGAAAGAAAAATGATCAAAATTCTACTCTTCATTTATAATTCACAGGTTACTGCAGTAAGACATGATAGGTCAAAAAAGACTCCTGGGTGAAGTTTAACATAGCCGTACAATAATATCTTCCCAAGAAGAAGAGGGACATAAATTATGGTAACACCTAAACTTATCACATAACTTGAGGCTAAAAACAGAACACATAGGACAAAAATAAAAACTTTACTGAAAAAAGAAAATGTATATATATATATATATAATGAACACATGAAGGAAAAGAAAATTAATCATCCATATATAAAACTCCTTCAATATAGACGCAGCCTATCACACAGGAAGAATCCTCGCAACAACAAATATAGATGAATCAGTCCAACCAGCTTGAGGAGGGTATTAGTACCCTCTCAAATACCGCAACCTCATTTTATTTAAACAGGTTATCTCCTCCTCCAAAATCAACAAATTAAGTTCTCTTCAATCATATAATTGCAGATATGGCGACAAATAATCTCAAGATGCAGTATTTATATCATCAATAGGAGATGGTGGTAGAATCTGTCTCCACAATTTTTCTTTAAAGGATGCGAATTTACAATTAAAACTGTAGCTCCCTGAAAATATAAAAATAAAAAATATTCGTAGCTCCCTGGTTACAAGCATGAGGTAGAGCTCCATACTTAAACATCTAAAAGCATAGCAATCAGTATTGTCCAATGCATGATGCAACATACATATTACATATTTATCATACAGCACAGAAAAAATTTACATAATAAATTATTGTCAACTTATTTGAACGCAATATTTCAAAAAAAAAAAATTTTCCACAACCCAGTGTATGTCCCACCAATAAACTTATGCTTATCAATTTGAGCTTAGGCATGGATTCTCAGACTCCCTAATCTAGACACATGGCGCAACCTTGGCAATACAAGAACCCACCACAGGATGGGAAAACCAGCATATTTACAATGCCAAATACAACCATGATCTAAAAATTATGGACCTCTTTCTCTGCCCTTTTTTTTTTTTTCCAAATAATAATAATAATAATAATATTTTTGTCCAATGATTAGGTGTGTGCTTTGGTCCATCTCATGCTTCTGAGCCTCTTCGAATACTATGTGGTTTGACACTTGCAATGTAATTACAGTACTCTTCCAGGGACACTTTATGGTAAACTATTTTTTTTCAGAGAAGTTAACAAGAACAATCCATTTTACAAACTTTACCACTAGAATTCCCTTTTTTGGGTATTCTAGTTGAGATTTTCCCGGTGCTGTCATCTTTTCTCTCACAAAGATTAACTTTGATATCAAACAAAGCTTCTCAAGTTTGACAGTAATCTATATGTTTATCAGACATATCTATCCCTATCAACATCATCTCAAGCTTCTATGTATGGATATACTTTTCCCTGGGTTATTGACTCCCTCCCTCCCTCTCTCTCTCTCTCTGTGTCTCTCTCTCTCTCTCTCTCTATATATATATATATATATTACCATTTGTTTGTGTGTGTCTTTGTGTAGTTTTCGATATATAAATGTAAAAGCTGGCTTAAAGGTTCTGACACAGTAATCTAACATATAAAGAGAGATTTCATATCAATTGAAGTTTGAACCAATGTGCTTGTAATGTAGCCAAGGACTGCTTCTGGTACCATGCTGGGTGCTGGAATGATGGAACAAACTGAGTCTCTAAAACTGATGTTGATGTCTAGCCCCTGATGTTCTTGGGGGCAGACCTGTTCTTTTTTTCTTTTAATGATACCAAAATCTAAATATAAATAAAACTGAAAGGAAAACTTGAAATGAAAAAATATATAGAAATAAAATAAATGATTCCGGTTGTTGAAGGTTATGTAACTTATCATTTCAAGATATGACTTTACATATAATTTGCAAATTTTATAAATGAATATTATTGTATAGCAATAAATCAAAACCGTTGACCAAATTATCCAATGCCAATTTGATTTATTCGAATATAGAAGACAAAACACCAACCTAAATTGAACAAGATTAATAATGATTTATTTTCAGAGCCTGACCAACTCAACCACTCATTCAGCTAATCATGGACCATATGTATTTAAAATAATTCACACATATCCAAGATCTTCTGATCATCCGATTTCATAATATGTATCCATCATGATTACTCTCTCTCATTTGCTCAATAACTTGTGTATTCCATGGGTATACAAACAGGGGTGTGCAAACTAAGCTCCCAGCACAAACATCAAAATATCATGTAACTCGTAAGATAAAAAGAACAATAATATATTTCTCGTATAGCATTCAAATTCATATTCAACAAATCACCCAGACATTCTACAGATAACATTAAAAAGTAGTTTTATACTTCACTTACCACACACTCACGGCTGCGAAACTCATTATGATCATTCCCTAGAATAGGAGCAGTCAATGGATGAATTGCAAGTCTAGCTTGTACAGCTTCTAAGAGGTCATGTTCTTCCCTGCAAAAGAATTATTTATCAAGCATAGCACTATAACCTAGAATTAGTTTACCAACAGAATAAAGAGAATCCATAGTAAAATATGGTCAGGTGGACCATAAAAAAAAAGCCAATATAGATTCCAAATCGATACTCATGCCTTCTTAGATCATTTGAACAATTCTATCAATGCAGGACAGCCCCTCTGTGGAGTTATATCATATATGCAGAACACATGGTCACAGATGCTTAAAAGCATCGTCCGGTGATGGATTTAGAATAAGAGTGATGAATCTTGAGAAAATAAGACTATTTACAAAGAGATCATTCCAATGTCTCCTTTTGATCAATGACTCAAGTAAAAACTACTTAATACTTGATTTTCCAGCATAAAAGAACATTTCAAATGACCAGTACAGAATAAATAAACGTTTGGTCCAAAAGTATGAACAATCCCTTTCATTATCAATCACTTTACAGTAAAAAATGAAGTTTGTCTGATCAATTGTGATTGACAAAGTGGCCCTGAATCAGAAAATTTATCTATATTATACAAGCTATTTGGCACTTTGTTTTAATTCAGAAACATAAGACTCAACTTTTCCCTGTACCGAAGAAAATTCATTCTTTTTGGCATTTGGCTGCAATTAATTGGAATAGGCATCCCCAGTTGCTGTTAACTCATTTAGTTGGAGATGGGACTTCAAAACTCATAAAATCAGAATTCATAGAGGGAAGCAGTTGAAAGAAGGATGTCTTCTTATATAGGTTCTCACTGTTTATGTTAAGAAATTGCAAGTATTCCAGCAGAGATTTTAGCTCATCTTTAGATCACAATACCTTTTGACTCATAGCAATCCACTTTATCTTTTTTCTTTAACATTTTTCACATCTTTATCTTGATGGATTTGCCATTTACATGACATGATTTAAACATACAGGCATAAAAACATAAACAAATAACAACTAGAAAGCATCCAGTGCCTTCATCATTTTTAAATGCTCCAAAGTCCATCCCGTACTAATATTACTCTAAATGAGAAACTTTATTCCATACCTGGATATAGGAATCAAGACTACTATGCTTCCTAACAACGTACTGGCCATAATACTATTGTGAGAGAGATCAATAATTGAATTAGTGACATCACAGCCCATCGATGTATCATCTACTGGAAGTTTATATGAGAATGAACCCTACAAGAAAAAGGCAAAACTCATCCACTTAATTGGAACATTACAAGAAACAAACAAATAAATAGAAACAAACAGAAAACATAAAATGCATATAATCCAACTATCTTAAAGCCAAAAATAATGTCAAAAGCAGTCTCTAGAACAAAACAACATTTCAAATGTCAATGTAATATTTGGAGAACTTATAAGCAACTTTGTATACGGCAGTAGCAATGGGAATCACCCTAAACATATATTAGGGAATGCATGGAACTTTTCCTGCCCATTAACGACCACATCACCTTTGGAAACCTCCATCAATAGAGAATAATTTACTGTTCTGTTAAACTTCAAGATAGAATGAATTCTATCATGCAAGCAATATTATTGGGGATCTTTGAAAACAAAACAAGTACCATCCAATCCATATTAGTATTTGGATTCATATATGCAGGAAAATATATGCATAGTAGAAAACCAATTTTGAAGTGTCAGTCACCTTAGAGCAAATATCTGTCCGTAGGAAAAAACTACTTTCAAGGGTCACCTTAGAGCTTGGAGGTGTAATATCATATTTAAAAACAAGAGAGGGGCATATAAGATCTTCAGAGAAAAATATAATAATCAAGGAAACAAGATAACCTGAAACCTAGCAAATGTGCACACATGCCCACAATGTCAAACCCTTGAATGTGGTACTTCATAGCATCATATTTATAATAATATGTAGAGAAAACGTAACTCACAGAATAAATTATATGGCACCAAATAGTAGAATATGCATGCGCTACATGACTGAGAAACAAGGAGGTTCACATAGAGAAAAGTGTATATCGTGCAAAACCTTTAGAACCCTTTTACTGCAAAGCTATTCACCTCAGTCAGAAGTTCCATTTCTTTGTTTAACTTGCGATTGTTAGTTAACAATTCAGGAATAGATGATGACGTCCCATCCAGTTCAAGGCCCCCACCTCTAATTTAATAACTAACATAGGTATAAAACAGTAACATAAAACAGCCAAACTATAGGTATAAGTAATTACCTTCCTGATGTTCATGGCTATCTCACCCATATAATACGAACAACTCAGTGTTAGGTTGCATTCTGGACTTGCATCGTCTGTGACATAAATTTATAAACAGTAAAAAAAATAAATTTAATAATAATAATAATAAAATAACAATCTCAGTCAGAATAAGGAAATAAAAAAACTAAGGAGAAAATAGTAAATTATTTCTGGCATGGTATAAGGGAAAGCATTTTAAGTCAAAAAAGAAGTAAATAAAATCTTAAATAGGGGAGCATGTTTAATCTTGCACAGAAATGTTAACGCATAGCTTGCTCCCTTATAATCATGCTTCCACTATATGTAGATGTATCAGGGTTGTTCTCCAAGGATTTACCTTTTGTTCCTGCTTCTCACCAATAACCACATGGAAATAAAATAAAAATAAAAAGAAGAAAACAAAGCAGAAGGACGACATGAGATAGAAAGAGAGAAAAGGAGGAGTTGCTTTAAAAAAATTCAATATTTATTGCCCAGAAGAAACAAGAACAATGCCTTTGTGTAGTGGAAATGAGAATGTTAAGATGGAGATCGGAGTTACTAGAAGAGATAGGGTCGGAAATGAAAGTGTGAGAGGAAAACTAGGTGTAGCAGCCATTGATGAGAAAATTCGAGAGAATAGACTTAAGATAATTTGGACATATAAATCAGAGACCTAGTGATGAGTCAATCAAACGAGGAAGACTAGTTGAAGATAAGAGATGGAGGAGGCCGTCAAAAATGACATGGGATAAGGTTCTTACAAATTATTTCAGAAAGTTAAATATAGTAGGTGAATTGGCATATAGAAAAGCTTGGAGAGAGAGAATTCATGTGGCCGACCCCATTCATATGAGACTAAGGCAAGGAGGATGATGATAATGATGATGATAATAATTTATTGACTATCATATATGGTAACATTATTGCACAGAAATGTCAAGCATAGCTTGCTACCTTATAATCACGCTTCCACTAAATGTAGATTTTTCAGGGTTGTTCTCCAAGGATTTACGTTTTGTTCTTGCTTATCACCAATAACCATATTGAAATTTAAATAACTAAATACAAAGAATAAAATAGAACAAAACAAAAGGAGGACGACATGAGATAGAAAGAGAGAAAAAGAGGAGTTGCTTTAACAAAATTTCAAAATGATCCAATACTTAACGCAAGTCATCAAATTTTCATATTATCAGCCAAAGAGATTCTCTGGAGCTCTGCCTTCCTCTCCTCTCTCCAAGCAACCAATCTTTCATTCAATCCCTAACACCAACTCTCTGCCCAGCTCAATGCCCCGACAACCTAGCTTCATCCACTCTAAGCTACTGAAAGCCTTCCCAAGTCTTCAATCTACCTTGAACACTTTCCAACTCCTGAGCTACCACATACCCCAAAGCACCCACCAACTTGTAACTTTCCAACAGCTTCTGATTTTTTTCCCTCTGCCCTATTCTCAATCTAAACTGCTCTTTGCCCCTCCATAAGTCCCGTCTATCCAACGAAAATTTGAAGATGATCCAACACTTGCCTCTACAATAATGATTAAAAAACTTCTGAAATAACACTCCTTCCACTCTGGAACACCAAGAATTAGTACAATCTGGACAAAGAAAACAGCTATTCTTGGCCACTTGACCACCTTTGCCTTCTAACTGAAGATTTATAATATTTTGGAATTAGGAAAGAGTTTTTTTTTTTAAATGACACCACAAAATTCATCAGCTAATGCCAATCACACTACTAGACAACCTATTAAGAACCCAAGAATGACATACCATATACTTATAAAAAAAATAATAATAATAATATAAAAAGAAAAAAGAAAAAAAGAAAAAAGAAAAAAAAGAATACATACCATATAATCTAGTGCTATAAAAGTTTAAAATGTGTATCTTAATGCCTTGATAGGGAGTGTTTGAGGCGATCTCCCTACAGGACCACTACCTCAGACATGTACTTCAGAATAGTGTCAATAACTTCTCTTCCTTTTATAGTAGTAGCATTTACAGTACTATAACTTCCAATAGAATCAGCCAAATTTATGTTTTTTTTTTTCCCTAATTGGTACTCGCACATGCATGCCTCCACTAAGCCAAATTTATGTTCCAACACAAATGGAGGTGATAGTTCTGAGCCACATTGTGAACTCCAGAAATATAAAGAGTTGTATAGTAGTGGTTCTTTGTTGTATGGTAGTTGTTCTTTCTTAATATATAACACAATTACAAACATTTTCTGACCTAACAATTTTTATATTTTCCGAAGTTCAATTTTTTACAATCTGATGGTAGATCAGAATAGTGTCAATAACTTCTCTTCCTTCTATTTTATAGTAGTAGCATTTACAGTACTATAACTTCCAATAGAATCAGCCAAATTTATGTTTTTTTTTTTTTCCTAATTGGTACTCGCACGCGCATGCCTCCACTGAGCCAAATTTATGTTCCAACACCACAAATGGAGGTGATAGTTCTGAGCCACATTGTGAACTCCAAAAAGATAAAGAGTTGTATAGTAGTGGTTCTTTGTTGTATAGTAGTTGTTCTTTCTTAATATATAACACAATTACAAACATTTTCTGATCTAACAATTTTTATATTTTCCCAAGTTCAATTTTTTACAATCTGATGGTAGATCAGAATAGTGTCAGTAACTTCTCTTCTTTCTATTTTATAGTAGTAGCATTTACCGTATTATAACTTCCAGTAGAATCAGCCAAATTTATGTTTTTTTTTTCCCTAATTGGTACTCGCACGCGCATGCCTCCACTGAGCCAAATTTATGTTCCAACACCACAAAAGGAGGTGATAGTTCTGAGCCACATTGTGAACTCCAAAAAGATAAAAGAGTTGTATAGTAGTGGTTCTTTGTTGTATAGTAGTTGTTCTTTCTTAATATATAACACAATTTCAAACATTTTCTGATCTAACAATTTTTATATTTTCCCAAGTTCAATTTTTTACAATCTGATAAGATTATGCTACAGATCATTACTTTACACTTACTTAGTAATTCAAAATTTTAACATTCCATATATGGAACATCAAATATCTCTTTCCTGTGAAGCTAAAAAAAAACCCAATCTAGAATGTCAATTTTGACAGTACAGTAGTTTATGACAGTCCATTGATGATTCTTTACTTGTCTTGAAGAATCTAAAGTTTGATTTTCACAACCTTAAAGCTAAAGAGTCTTTATAGGAATACCAGGTGCAGATTGCATGACTTATTCAAAGATATTTTATGATTTTGTAGGAGTACCACTACTACAAGCAAACATTTGACAGTTACACAAGGATTTAAAAAGTTACCTTCTAGATGATTTAAACATGACAAGACAGCAATGCTTCCCTTACGATCTGAAACAACAGCAGTATCAACATCCATAAGAATACAATCAGCAACCAATCTCTGAACAGGGTCACAGTAAAGTTGCTCCAGTTTCCTGGCATCCTGGTATGCAAGAAAGTAGAGTGGACAGAGAAGATTAATAGCATCAGGCCTTAAAGTGCTCAAACCAAGCTAACTGTAACTCGAAATATTTCAGCTTCTAATACAAAAGCAGTGAGCAGGTAAACTCACAATATACAATACAAGGCTAAACTATACAAAAAGACAAGCTTACTGGTAAGAAAAGGCAATAGCTATTTACCTCATGATATGTAAAGAACAGGGTACCATCACGGCAATCACCAACAGCAATTCTAGTGAAGTGCGCAGTCAAAGTCATGATCATAAAGCGTGTCCTTCCTACTGCCAACCTTCTCACCCTTTGGGAATTGTCATGCGGAAAACCACATACATAAAACTGGGAAAAATGAAAAACATGTCTTAGCAAGTAATGGCAATATAATAAATGTAATTAGCCTGGCAATCTTATACGCTACAAACAGAATGTTGAAACTTACAGCATTACCAGCAGAGGCCAAGAAATAACGGTCAAGATAAGGGCATATTGCGAGTACCATTCCAGGCCATATAGTTGAAAAAGCTGCTCGCAGACACCACGCTTCAGTCTCTTCAAGCCTGATTCCATCACAACTATTATCATCCGGGCTGCTACAAAGACTACTGCTTGATAGCTGTTCAGCTGCGTACCCAACAATTTCTCGAAAAGGTGAAGTTCGTTGAGAAGATGACCCAGTCTTTGAATGATATGTCATAGAACCACTATCTGAATTTTGCTTATGTACAAGGCATAGGACAAGTAGACGGCCCCTAGTACTGCTAAAATTACATCCAGTTAGAAAACACACATATGGAACATATGGAATATATCAGACAGAAAAACCATTTTCCAAAACAGAATTTGCACAAGGAGTAAGGACTAGAAGAAAAATAAGATGTAAATGGTTTACAATCAAACTGAGCAGAAGAACCTCTTTTACAAAGAGCAAAAACACCGACAACTACAGCTCCCAAGATACATCTAGCATAAATACACCCAATAATAGATGTAACCATAACAAAAAACTTTGGACTGCAGAAAACACATTAGGGATGTAGCAGATCACTAACCTTTCAGCTTCTCCACTAGGCATTATAGCTGGACCAGCAGACAGACTAGTTCCCACCACTAAAACCTGTTCATTTCCAACCTTTACTAACTCCATTGATTTTCCTGTTTCCCCCGGTTCAAGCTTATAAGATGACAAAACTGACCCACTGAGGGGATCCACACAACATATATCGGACGAATACGAATCATTACTCAGTTCAGTCCTCATCACAAGCAGCAACCTGCTTTCACTATGATACAAAACCTTTCGTGGAGTGCCTCCAAGATGAAACTTCTGCACATTAAGCCTCTTGCTGTGCACCATCTCCACCTACAGTAGCATAAATGAACATATTCACTCGGACAATGATAAAAGCAAGTTTGAACGAAACATTAAATCATAAAGATACCCTAAAGCTTATTTAAAAAATACTTAAACCCCAGCAAGTTGCATTTCAGAACGTGTTCCAAAATGAGAACATTTTCCCTCCAAAGCATTGAATTTAGGTTGCAGGTTTTATTTAACCAGAAAAGGGGAAACATGACTATTTCATTTTTCATATGATAAGGTAATACTTAGTACCTAAAATTGTTGTGCTTAACTTGAGAACAAAACATGAAAATATATTTGGTAAAGAAGAGAGAATGACAGGTTCTGGACAAAATCTGCAATTCTTTTAAAGAACAAAACCAAAAGTTTATGTAAGAAAAACCAAAATATTATGGTCATAAGACATTGATGAAGAATGGAAAGCACAGAGAAGGAAAAACAGAGGGAGAAGGAGGGAGGGAGGGAGGGGGAGAGAGAGAAACCAATGAGATTGAGGTAACAAAAAAAAAAATATATATATATATATATATAAAACAAAACTTAATTCAATAATATTTGGAAACAAAAATCAATGGAGAGGAGAAATACTGGGGAATATAAAAGTAAAAACTGAGTGTGAAAACAGATCAACGAAAAAGTGGAAATAAGGGGATTGGAAAAAGGACCTATAGGAAAGTTTTTTTTTTTCCTTCCTTCCTTTTTTTGTTTGTGGGTGGGGTGGGGTGGGGTGGGGAGAGACAATGCAAGCAGAGAGGAAGAGAACATCAGCAATGAGAAAGAGAGAGAGCAAAATGGCCATGAGAGAGAGTAAATTCCATGATAAAGGAGATTATGGTCTATGGTTGAGGCTTTTGAGGGTAAAAAAGGGGCTTTGTTGTGTGGAGAGCCAAACCTAGAACAGGGTTCCATCTCTTGTAAGGCTATCTCCATGTTTTCACTTAATCCTGGTGCAAGTGAAACCATCAATTTGGTGTTTCCATTTCTCTAGAAAATTTTGCAAACAAATTCGAAATAAAAACTGCAAAAACAGAGGTCTGTCTTGTGTAATGATAACATTCCTCAAGAATTCCAAATCATTCTCTTCATCATATATGATCCACTTAGCCTTAGGTCACTCAAATTGGACTCTCCTTGCTATTATTCTTAGTCTCTCCTTTCTACCTAACTTGGGTGACCCTCTTTTGTGAAGGGTATGTTTCTTCTGTCAGCTTTTCATCTGGCGTCTGCGTCAATGGCTGGGGTTGGAGTTCTATTTCTAAGAGGGTCTCATCCCTCGCTTGTCGGGATAGACAAAGGTCTAGTAAACTACGCCGTCGTATCTACACAACTCTCGCGAAGAGGAAGAGATTTTCTTTCAAAAATGCATTTCCCTTCATATAGCGTTTGCGACTTGCTGTGTTTCTTATATATATATATATATATATATATATATATATATAAGTAATAATCGATTAAAAAAGCGTTCAAAAGGGGAAAGCGTCCCTTATACAAAAGCGGAACCGGGATCTAAGGACCCAAAGAGTCCAACTGATTAACTAAGTCATCGGAAGAGGAGCAAGAACTCCTCTTCACGTAACTAAAAATAGAGCGAATAATATAAAGTTTTAGCGTCGCTATAGACGTCTCCTTCCCTTCGAAGATTCTGCTATTCCTCTCCTTACAAATGCACCACCAAACGCAATGTGGAACTGTCCTCCAATAGTCGCGTATGCTTCTTCTCACGCGGCATCCCCTCCACGCGTTAATCAGACCCTTAGAAAATCGAGGCATTACCCAAAGCATACCAAATAAGCCAAATAAAAGGTTCCAACAGTCATACGCCACGGGGCAATGCAGGAGGATATGATCAACAGACTCACCATCTCGTTTGCAAAGACAACACCAATTAACAATAATGTTGCCTCTCTTCCTCAAGTTGTCAAGCGTCAAAATCTTGCCCCATACAAAGAATGCCACTCTAGGAGGAGCCTTGGAGCGCCATATGGTCTTCCATGGAAAATCAATGCCAACGAAGTTGGATAGGCATAGAAACATAGACCGTACATCAAATCTACCATGGGTAGAAGGCACCCACAGAAGATCATCACTACCTCTGCCACCTGCCTCCTGCTAATAAAACATATCCAGAAAAACACGTACCTCGTCCATCTCCCAATCCTGAAAAGAAAGCCTAAAACGCACGTCCCACATAATCCCACTACTATCAAGCCGATAACAGTCAGCCACCTAGGCATGTCTATTGGCGGCAATACTGTACAAACTGGGAAAGGTGCAAGATAACGGCTGGTCACCACACCATAAATCCTCCCAAAATCGAACACATCTACCATCACGAACTTTGAATTTGATATGAGAAGAGAAAACATCCCAGCCCTTCCGAATGAATTTCCACTCGCCAACTCCTCCCGCAATAGAGACTGAACGAGTAGACCAACCGCCCCTCTCCTCCCCAAAACGACATGAAACAATCCTTCTCCAAGGGTGATGCCTTTCCCTGCCGAATCTCCATAATCATTTGCCCAAGAGAGCTTGATTAAAGGGAACCAACCTCCGGATACCTAGACCACCCGACTTCATGGGTTTGCAAACTCGCTCCCAGCAATCAAAAAATATTTAAAAGGAGGGACAAAAAAAGGAACAGAACAATTGCCTACATGCCCTCAGCAATCAAAAAAGTTGTTTTATTTCTTAACTTATTTTTCCATCTAAGGGGAAAATAAAACAAAAATTATTCATCAAAAGAATAAGACTTAAATAAACCAAAACATAGAAGCTCAAGAAATCAACTTGAATTCTTTTATATCTCGAATTCCAATAAAACAAATTTCCTTAAAACAAACGGACAAACATCTACTAAATTCTTGTCCGCCTCCATATTAAAACCAGTGAATTGTGCTGAAACCTAGTGTTATACAGGAGTTTTGGACCTACGGGGCTTTAGTTAAGTGGGGGCGCCCCAAGAAGTTTCTTAATGCTGATACATTCAGTTTCGTTGAGCCCCAAGCTTGTGGTTCCCCTTTGAGAAAGGGCAGTATTTCTGACAGATTCGATTCTTCGTTCTATTATTGCCTCCTCTTCCTGAGGGTGTGGTCTCTTCTTGATTTTCTCTAGGTTCAGTCAACCTTCTTGGTACTCATCTTACACCTTATTTACTACAATCTTATCTATGGCTATATTTTTAGCATTCAAAGCATTTGTCAAAGAAAACATTCTTAAAGTAGAAGCACCCATTCCATTCCATTCCAACTATATCATCTATATAACCTACCACTACCCTAACAACATTTCTAGTATGTGCATACCACATTCATCTTCCATCCTGCAACAGTGTGCTTTCCAGGTAACCTTTGCCGGTGAGACATCCACAAAGAATGCAATAGTATACTTCCAAATCAATTCTTGGACAGCACATTATTGCATTTTCAACCATTTCAATGGTTCACTAGTAACAGTCAATGGGCAGATATCGCATTTCACAATCAATATATGTATATATATAGTGTGTGTGTGTGTGTAATCATAATCAATACAAGATCCGGAAAGCATGAAATATGTCATGAAAACAAGATAATTTCAGCAACATAGACAAGAATGAATATCGGTACTGCAGTCACAATAGTCACAATCATATTCAAGGGAAGAATATCCTTAACAGCCAACTGGTTTATACATAAATATCCACAAAAGTAAATGATACAACATATTTTGTTTCTTACCAAATGGAGACTGTTCTCTGCAACAAATAAAATACCCTGGGGACATTCAACAGAACAAACAGGAGTTACATGTGTTGAAGGTTGAAAAGAGATTGACGTATAGGAGAGGCTGTGCCTTGCAGTTTGCAATAACCAAGGCCTATCGCTGAGAGCAATCATGTCGGCATTGAGGGAATCACTCAGTGGAATAAGGAAAGCTGGGGTAATGCCTATGCGGCGGATTGCAATTATTTGAAGATGAACAGGATCTTCCTTCGTCTTCTCATACAAATTAGAAACATATAATTGTTGGCCTGTACTTTTAGATGAGGTAGAATCCGGATTTACCAGACATGAACTGGAACAACTCCATTCACTGTGTGATTCCAATGAAGACATTGTAGAAGCAGAAGGCAACTCAAACCGAAGCAGCATTCCATTCCTCAACCCTGAAAGAACATATAGTCGATCTACTAGCACAAGCCTCACATCTTGAGGGACACAGCCACTAACGGTAGTTCCCATAGTGTTTGTTAACGAAATTGTCCCTATAGCAAGAACTTTCAGTCCTTTATCAGGTATGAAAGACAGGATTTCCACTGAAGGCTTATGCGTACCAATAACAAAGCAATTACCGATGTTAAATCCAGCTGGAAGCGCAGGCTCAAAACAATTATCCACTAAATTAATTCGAGAACTAGGTGATTTTTGGTCAAAATGTTTTTGAGGTATGGAAATGCAGGATAATTCATTTTGCAATCTAACATGTTGCATCTCATATACTTCAATATGATATGATGATAGGTATCGGGCCCCAAGAATAAATAAGAAGCATGGATTGGAAGTAGCGACGGCGATAAAATTATGTCCAACTGCCCCCAGACTGATACTAATTTTGTCGGGGGACCAAGATGTAGAAATCGGAGAAGACAAATGGATTCCTTCAGGATGTGCGGCTGTAGTGGGTAAACAGAGCATAACTGCATTTTGGTAGATCTGGACCAGCAAACCATCAGCCACAAGGCCACATGCCAAAGTAGAGACATCGGGCAGGAAACCAACCGTATCAGTCACATCAGTAAAGCTTACGCCAACTGATAGCACCCTAGTCTCTTCAACAAATGATAGCACAAGGAACGAATGAGCAGAATCAGTTACTTTCATTTTCATTGTCCAGGTGCCAGTTATGCCTTGATAAATAGGGGGAGTTCTCAACAGCTTTTCCACACTGATGCCACTTCGAATAATCCTTAACGATCCCTCTGGTGCCATCCCACAGCAAGCAAACATTTGATCATGTTTCTCATCATGGTAATCCACAACCGACATATCCAAGATTGGTGCGATGTTTTGAATAGGACTTCTGTAAAGCAGCCTCCCCTCTTCCAATTTCAAGACCATCCCATCCCCCATCTCTACAAGAGCAGCCAAGAACCCACCTTCAACCCACAAAAGTGCCTTACATGGTAGACCATTGTAGAGACAATCAGACAGATCAACTTTAAGGCCATCAGAATCAGAAGAAATTTCAATCCTAAAAAATTCTCCACTGTCCACACAAAAGATCATCCTCAGATTTTTTCCATTTCCCGGTTCCCAGCTCCATGAGCACACATGTCCACAAGTTGACTTTACATTGCCACTGTCATTGTCTATACTCATGGGGTCATCATCTTTAACCATGTCACTTAGCTCCAGTAAAGCAGAGGCAGCAACATTAAACATACCTTCTTCATCGCAGTCATGTATTCTAAATGATTCCTCAACAAAATTCTGCTCCTCAACTGCAGTGGATAAAAAATTTAAGCTCGTTCTATAGACACAACGAGGGTTGTGAGCATCCCTAAGATCCATTAAGAGAGCATCACCAACCCTAAATAAAAAAGCCAATCCATAAGAATGAGGAACTTCAACAATATCATGTGCCAGGGGTCCAGCTTCAGCAAACTGAGAAATTACGTGAACAGTATTTTCCCTTGTAACCCATTCCACTAAAAGAAGCTCATTTATAAATGATCCCCTCCTGCAATACCAGAATTTAGCCTTCTAAATTTTAACACGATAGCAAATGAGTTAAGAATAAGTTGAATAACTCAAGCTGATAACAAGTGAATCCTACAGCTATGGAGAACATGTGACGTAGTATCACACCTGTTCAGAAGAATGGCTAATATAGGGTTGTGCTCCTCACTTGGTTGACAGAATTCTTTGGAAATAAAGCACATGCTCCAGATAGTACCAGAGATACTGGTACCACCTCTGGCAGTACTTGGGTCTCCCTCATTTCCAGAAGGATACAATATTCTCTGAAATAATGGCATGGTTTTCACAGTGAACTGAAAGCAATTATATACATAGATTTATATGTTCCTAGCAGTAAAAAATAATTAACTCAACCTTATCAATGATATTACTGCCAGCAGACGTTGAAACTGAGAACAAAGCCAATTGGTCCTCGTATGCACTAGCAGCGATGAAGCAACCACTGCAAAGAAAAAAAAGGGGGAAAAAAAAACACACGCACATCAATATGCATGTTAGATGATCTGAATAGCAGTAACACTATATGGTACGCTTGCTACTGCACACGCCCTCACCATTTTTTTAACATTGCAAAAGAAACCCAATTAATTCAATAGGGTTTGTTGGATAATATCATAATGAGTCAAAAGAGTTGGAAATATTTTGTAATATCCAATACTCTGATTTATAATGCTTAGTGCCCTCATAAGTCATGATCGTGGTGAAGCAGGTCATTGTGGGTATCGTCATGGTACCTATTAGAGGATTTAAACATTCAATTACACTCTCTCTAATAGTTCAAGTTTTTGAGTAGATGATGATTAACATGATATCAGAGTATGAAAGGTCCTGAATTCGAACCTCTGATAATTGACTCATAATGACAACTGAAACACGTGTTGGACCAAAAAGAAGGTCACACGTGAAAGGGCGTGTTAGAAGATTTAAATATTAAAGTTACACCCTCTCTAACAGCTTAAATTTTTAGAGTATAAGATGGTTAGCAGTACCAATCATAATATCGATCCTTGTTGGGATCTATATGGAAAACCGATATCGGAAAATTAAGCAGTTATCTCTTCTGAGAGTGCCTCTTCTCATTCCTCAATAATGAACGATCGTCCAACTTCTAGTAATTCCATCTCACAACCTAGTTCCTCTAACAGTACCACTGTCACACTAACACTTTCCCATTAGGAGTTAAATGCCCTGGTCAAAAAGGCATAAAATATGTCTACTGATAATGTTGCAGCATTTTTCCCATTCAAGTAATATTGCATGTTTTCAGACTTACAATCTCCATCTTCCTCTTGGATTATTGACCAAGGACTGTGCGTTTATGACTGGTGAGGATTTACTGTTTACTACTTTACACAAGTTTAATTCTACATCCTATGTTACTCTGGTACAAGTGTTTGTCGAGACACAATTAGACCTGCCTCCATTTAGTTGTCCCATGTGCATCTTGGATTCTTGTTCCTCAATTTCCTTTTAATTTGTTATGTGTAAATCAAATTACTTAAGCCCTGAACCGTTCAATGACCTTCGATCCTCAAAATGAAGAAGATTATTATTGGCGTTCAAGAATGAAATGGTCATTGCTACTTGGATTGTGCTTCTCCTATCAGAAGTGTGGCTCTCCACTCGAGGGCATCAACCCAACAGTGGCATTATCGACTTGGTCATCCTTTCTTGAAATACCTGAAGCCTACATTACCTTTTAGTCTAGAATGTGACGCTTGTCTACTTGACAAGCATCAGAGGATTTCTTTTCTTCTCAAGTCAATAATCGCCAGCCTTCTCCTTTCGATTTAGTGCATACTAACATTTGGGGCCCGGCCAATCATTGAAGTGTACAAGGTTTTTCATATTTTGTTACCATTGTTGATGACTATTCAAGAATGATGATTTTTTTTTTTTTTTTTTTTTTTTGAAAGATCGTTCTAAGTTTCTTTCCATTTTCCAATCATTTTATAAAGAAATCAAGGTTCAATTTGGATTTGTTATTCCTAGTTTCAACTGATAATGCCATGGAATACACCAAGGCTGTGTTTAGTATGCAAGAATGGAATGTAGGTGGGAATGGAATAAGAATGGGAAAGAATGGAATGGTCATTCTCATTCTACTATTTGGTTGCAAACATGAATTGATGGATGAATGGAGTCAAATTACCATTCCAGTATTTGATTAGACCAACTCAAAATCTAAAATGGAATAAATTTTTTCCATAATACCCTCAGTGGCATACGTTACTTTTTAAACACCGGTATTTAATTAGACCTACTTAATGGTGGAATTTCAAAGGAAATGGATTATGTGAGGAGCTCTTCGCAGGCAGGGGGATGTGTCCCATTCAAGTCATCTTTCTACTCAAACTCAACAAAGAAGCTTGTACAATGCGCCAAGGCTTCAGCCTCACTACCAATATAAAGGACATCGGAGACCCTGTGGTCATAACAATTCTGGCTGACGCCCTTGAAAGGAAAGATAATAAAAGAGGTTGACCCCGCTTCTATGTATTTCAAAGTGCTACAACCAGTTCAAGAACGACCAACGACGATGACGATGTTGATGGGATGACTACCCCAGCTATAAGGAATGTCGGGGATAGCAGTTTGGTAGCTCACAAGGCTCAAATGGGGTGCCACGGGTTCAAATCCTGTCTCCACAAAAAGGATTTGATACGCCCTCTGACCCCCTTTATGGATTCCCTCCCTTACCGTTGCAGAAAGTGAAACATTTAGATAAGGAAGATATTGTGACAAGCTCAACACTCCACCTTCAAGTCTCTGATTCGATACTTGAAGCGCATTCCTATACCTTTTATTTTTATAATATAACTTTGAGTCAGTGATTGGAACCCTTTCCTGTAACTGCTGATGTGACAAAGGGATTAGGGATCATCACATAAACTATTCTTGGGTTAGGAGCTGCTGCATCGTATTTTGCCTCTATTTCACTATTTCCCTGAAAAACAATTATAAGGTATGCATAGCCCTCCTTTTCCTTTGCGAAACCATCGTCGTTGGTCCTTCCGCGATGCGCTGGTCAAATAGGATTTTTATCCGTTTTCATTCGCTTGAACTTTATATACGAAATTCAATGACACGATTAGATGAATAACTGACTTTCATAATATGCAGGTGCGTATAGAAAGTCCCTACATTGGTAGAAAAACAAAAAGTAAGCCTAAAATCTAAAATGGAATAATTTTTTTCGATAATACCCTCAGTGGTATACGTTACTTTTAAAAATGGAGTGTTTTTTTTCCACTTAAAGAGCCACGCCCAGTATTGTAATACAAAGGAATTCAAACTTTAACAGACAAACGATGGTCGGGCCAAGTACTCTTCAGTGAGGACACCATCTACAAACTTCATATTCGTTTTCTGCAATCCAAATTAAGTCCTAAATCTGGCTTTACCAAAAGGTCAAAAAAAAAAAAAAAAAAAAGAGGAGATTTCTTAACCTAAATTCCCAAATTGTTTCATCCAAGTTTTATCCAAATCTGACTTTCCCAAAAAGGTAAAAAGAAAGGATAAAAACAAAAAAAAAACAAAAACAAAAAAACAAAACAAAACAAAAATAAAAACAAATTTTAAACCCACAATTTTTATTTTATCCCTCGATTGGGATTATGTTATCACCAATACACTGTAATATATACAATGTACACACGATAATTGATGCAACAACACGATGCATCACTTCTTTAAATCAAAAGAAAAAGGCAATAACAGATGGATTTGAATGCACAAAACGTGTAGAAATATATCACAATGTCAGTGAACCCCAGGTGATGCCCATGTCGTTCCTCCCCCACTCACTTCTGCCTCGCCGTTGCCATCATCATCAGGTATCCGATGATCCCAACAGCCCCGTGACGACTGCCTTGGTCACCACAACGATCGAAATCTCGTCGGCATTGAGGAGAAGCAACCAAGAAAAGAAGCAATGCCGGGAGTCAGTGGTCTGCCTCAATCACCAAAGCAGTCAAAATCTCACCGAACTGAGAGAAGCAACCAATAAAATAATAACAGGAGAGGGGTTCTAGAGAGAGAAAGTAGAGAAGAACGCTTGTGAGACGTGTGTGAGACCCAAAATGTGATTAGGTTTTTTGGTAACGTAAATTTTTTTTCTTTATTTTACTTGGGACTGGAATGGTTATTCTTTGGGTTAATAAGTGGAAGGATTTTTGTGGGAATGACCTTTCTAAGGGAATGGTGGGAATGGTCATTCCACCTTTAACTATCCTAGTACCAAACAAAAGAAAAGGAATAAAAAGTGGAATGAACATTCCATTCCATTCCTGCACACTAAACAGAGCATAAAGGTATTGTTTTAGAATTATATGATACACATGGTATTCTCCACAAACATCTTGCTCTTATACCCTCAAAAATTTGGAGTGACACAACGCAAAAGTATACATTTGGTCGAAGTGGCTCGCACTTCAATGATCCATACACATGTTCCAAGGAAATTCTGGGCCGATGTCGTTTTAACAAATTTCTCCCTAATCAATCATATGTCTTCTTCTATTTCATAAAGAGAAATGTCCTTATTCTGTTTTTTTATCCGGATCATGCTTTACTCATTTTGCCTCATTAGGTTTTTAATTATGTTTGCTCTGCTGTGGAACTAACAAATTGTCTCCTCGTGCCATCAAATGTCCATTTGTTAGTTAGTCTCGAACTCAAAAAGAATACAAGTGTTGGGATCCTAGCACTAGCCGATACTTTGTGGGTATGGATGTTACCTTCTTTGAAACCACCACTTTTTCTTTTCCTCCCTTGGTCAAATACTGATATTTTGATCACGTTGCCTATTATTTCCGATTTTAAACCTAAACCAGTAAACTGCTTCTGTCCTGCACTAATAAACCCCTTCAAGTATATTGTTAATACCAAGGGAAACAACACTTGTTCCCTCACACCTATCGTCTGCTTCAATTGAGGTTCCTTTTATTGATGATCTCCCTATTGCCTTACGCAAAGGTACTCGTTCTCGCACTCATCATCCTGTTGAACATGTTCTTGCTTTTGCAACTTATTTCCATGTTTTCAGTCATTGGTCTGTGCTTTGTCATCTGTTTTAGTTCCTCAAACCTATCTTCAAGCCTTGTCCTCCCATGGTTGGAAACATGCTATGGTTGAAAAAATGGGAACACTAAGGCTCCGTTTGTTTCGACGTAAAATATTCTTTTTGGAAAATATTTTTCTTTTTCAGGTAAAATATTATTTTAGTTTTACTTTGTCAGTGTTTGGCAAAGGTTTACGTCGATGTTGAGGTCAAGTCCATCAGGTGGGGCATGTAAAATAACTTGCCGAAAATTGATGGATAAGTTAATTTTGTTAAATTTTAATATATTTTTTTCTTCGTAAATTTTTACGAAAACCAAACACTAGAAAATAAAAAAATATTTTCTGAAAAATATTTTACGTCCAAACAAACGGAGCCTAAAGCAAAATAACTCCTTTACCTCAAAGGAAAAGTAACAGTTGATTGTCAATGGGGTATTCCATCAAAGATCAACCTAATGGTACAATTGAACGGTTAAAGACTTGCTTGGTAGCTAAAGTTTATTTGGGCTAGACTATTTTGAAACTTTTTTTCTATTATTTGCCTTAATTCTTCCATGTTCTTTTATCAGTTGTGACTTTACAAAATTGGAGACTTACAGCTTGATTTAAAATTGCTTTCTCACATGCACATCTTCGAGAAGAAATATAAATGGAGCTTTCACATGGTTTGTTGCTCAATGGGAATCACATATGGTGTGCTGGTTAACAAAAGCTATATATTGATTAAAATAGTCTCCAAAGGCATGGTTTCACAAATTTAGTGTTGTGGCAAGCATGTAGATAATATTGTTGTGATAGGATAAAAGTAATATTGACGAACTGAAGGAATTGTTTAAGCAAGCATTTTCACATAAAAACTTAGGCCAATTGAGATATTTTTGGGGAATATATGTAGCAACATCTCATAAAGGAATTTGCATATATAAAGGGAAGTATGTGTTGGATTCGAGTATTAGGAATTAAAGAAAATGACACTCCCACGGATTCGAGTATAAAGTTTAATCCATATGAGGGAGAACTTCTTGAAGACTAAACATAACTTCTGTTGTAGAAGTGGTAAGTCAATTTATTCAACATCCCCGACAACCTCATTTGTATGCGGTATATCGTATTTAAGATATTTAAAGGGAACTCTTGGTAAAGGAAGTATCTTTAAACAATCTAAAACAGAACAGTATGATTATTGAACAAAAAAATCCCACTTTCCAACCAAGGTAAGAAACTTACTTGGAATCAACAGCAAGCAATCTTCCAACTAGATGCCTTGAGTTACCAGGAGTCGAAAGTTGAATGTGTGTTAATGGGAAAAACCTATGCCAACAATAAATATACTATACAAATAAGCTTTCATCGAAAAAATGAAGTACCTAAACATTCAAAACCAATAAAAGAATTAAAAGAGTTCAATCCTTTCTTTCACATGAAGAAATATCTAGAGAAGGAGAAGTTTAAAAACCTGTGCATTTCATTGGAAAATGTGAGAAACGATAGCTTTCCGGAATCAGAAATAACAACCACAACATCTTTCCCCTGCATCTACAAAAAGAAAAGGAATTGTATTCAGGATAATCTGGTAAATGCCTCTATTATCGAGAAGCAACTCCTATGACGTGATAATTTTTCTCAATACAATATTTTATCTCTGAAAAAATGCCAAAAAGTGTTTCTGTTGTGGTGAGAATATAAACAAAATGTATTGCAAGGAAGTCGTCAAATTTAACAAACTAACAAACCTGAGGACTCCATTTGTGGAACTTCTCATTCCAGGGTAGAATGGCAAGATCTTTAATCGTGCCAAATACAGCCTGCTCACAGATAGATTGTGCAATCCCATCTTCATCAATTATCACCAACTCTAAGGTTGTCTCCTGAACAAAAATTCATTTAATGAAAGGTGTAGGTGTATCGGGTTAAACAAGTAGTGAAATGAAAGATAAATTGTACCCTGTTAATATACAACATAGAAACTAGTCGAGGGTGAACAAATTACAAATAGATCCAAAAGCCAGTTGAATATTATTTAGAACATCATAATAATCAATGCATGCATAATTCATACAACAATTACCAAAGCATTTTTCTAACTATTTGGAGCCAGTTACATGAATCCTATGTTTCCATTCTGCTAATGCATGCATCAATAATTATGACCTTTACACAGCCGGTCCCAAGCCCAGAGGAGGGTTGTGTTAGGTAGCTTGACAACCAACGTAAAACTTTTGCCATGACCATTATAGATATGCATGCATAATTCATAAAACTTCAAAAAAAATAGCTGCAATTGAAACCTTAGAAAATGAAATGCTTGACTGAACTGTGCCAGTTAGATCTATGTTCATAGTTGCAATGATTAGTTTGTAAGGAAACCAAAAAACACAAATCAACAACCAAACAGAGAATATAGGCTGAAAAATGATAGTAGTGATGTCTAAAATGTACAAACCCTTCTACTACATATTTATAAGTGCAACTTAAGTTACTCTCATACACAGGTATCATAATTGTATAAGCATGCACGCACGCACACACACACTGTAAGATAAGATATTGTGTGATCGGCATCACTTATCAAAAATAAAGATATTGTGTGATCGGCATCACTTATCAAAAGAAAAAAAAGATATTGTGTGATCGGCATATCCCTTTAAGACTGAAAGAGAAGTATAAAATGGATACTAGACCAACCATTCTTCATGTGAAGAATCTTGGCAGCCAAAAAAAAACATCACGGACGTGTGAATGTAGAGATAGATGTGCAGAAAGTTAAGATATGATAGAACTAGAAACAAAATGGCTGAAGTGACATCCATTGGAGATAAAAAGGAGAAAAAATCGATTAAGATGGTTGGAACTGCGCGGGCTAACATGAGCAACATTGAGGATAATGCTAGGGATTAAGATGGTTCGAACTGCACGGGCTAACATGAGCAACATTGAGGATAATGCTAGGGAAAGGGCAAGACCAAAAATAATAATATGATAAAATGTAATTTGAATGAGAATTTGATTTTAGATAGAGCACAATGAAAAAATAATCTTCACGTAACCTATCCCAAGCAGCTGGGAAAAGTATTTGTTATGTTGAATTGAGTGAGACAATACACTACTGTTGCTAACATTTTGAAGTCGTTGTGTAAAAGGCTTTGTTGTGCTGAGTTCATATAATCCACTACTTCCACTAACAATTTCCCGCCACCAAATGCAGCATAACAAAATAATCAACGATTAATTCCAATAATTCAACGCCACAAAGGCAAACGCACATATGCGTATGTAGATGTGTATGTATGTATTTATGTACTTATATATGAAATTCAAGTGAGTTTAGACCAAAAAAAAAAAAAAAAAACCTTGCCGAATACAACGTCGTTGGAGGAAGGAGAGCGAATGTGACCCTGGACCACTTGAAGAACAACGCTTCCTCTGAGAACGCATTTAGCGAGATAGTGGACTCCATTGGAGGTCGATCGAGACTTGGCGGACGAAGACTCTTCCTCTGAAACCGCCATTGGGACGGCACTTCAAAGTTAGGTTTTCAGTTTGGATTGAAAATGGAAATACTAGGGTTATATTGAATACATAAATGAAAAGTCTTCTGTGTATTTATTGTATGTGACTCGATCAGAACAAAACACGCAGATATAGATATATATAGAGAAAAGGGGCGTTGGAGTGAAGTGATCTCTGGAGATCCGCTAGCACTTTCTGGGAAGAGACCGGTTTAAACTTTAATGGTTTTTTCTTTTCTTATTTTCTTGCCGCTTAACCGATGGAAATCGTTGCTTTCTAGTGTGAAACCCGTCTTGGGCGTCCAGTTAGTATTATACTATGGATTAATCGATTACTGGATTTGGAGTGGTTTAATCGGGGACGGGTAATTCGCACCAATTTGGGCAGGGACAGGAAGGGTGTCCACCCATTTTATGTTCTAAATTACCATGATACGTTTATGCTTCATAAAAATTTATAATTTATAATTGAGTCGTATATTTCTCTAAATAAATATCACTAAAAGATACTTTATTTATTTATATATATATATATATATATTTGATCAAATATGATAGAGTTGTTTTGTTTTTCACAAGTTCATTTCACTTTATTAATAAAATATTAAATATATGTTTTTAAGGAAGAATAATTGAGTGAGACTGAACCACGCATGCATCGAAACTAGAAGAAAGAATGTAATAAAACTACTAAAGAAGGAGAATATATATAATATACTCGGTGCGTCGTTTATTGGGCACATCGCAATTCTTCATGTCCACGCATGTTGTTTTAGCTAAATCTTAGATATTATATTCTTACGAATCCCATTCTCTAATAAATAAGGAATTGAATGGCCGGGAATTGGGAGGTTTTACCTGTAGCCTACACATATCAAGAGCTCAGCTAACGTAATGCGTGAAACTCCATTTGCATTTATTAATCGGGCTTTCGGACACGTGCCCGCACGTGTATGACACGAATAGTTGTGATATGCCCGGTGTACAAAGAATTGGGCACATCAAATGCCTACTTTTAAACAAGGGTGAATGATATTACCATAAATGAGAATTAAGATGGAAAAGAGTGTCCTTTTTCAATCCTACTCACCTTCAAATATGATAAATTATAAATTGCAACCGTTACAACGATGATGTAATGCAATAGACTGCTACAAACACTCCAACGATGAGATATAGCTTAACAAAAAATTTCAGGTGCACGGTGAAAGAATCAATAATAATAATAAGAACAGTACTTGCATATCTGATTTGGTAATTAAAAATAACGTATCCATTTACTATTGGTCCACCTTAACAATAAGAAAAAGGTAAACCTTGGTGAGAACTTAAGTATTGTTCTAATAATAATCCTCTAAGTATTGCTCTAACAATAATTTCCTTAAAATATAAGTATTTTTGGATAAATTTCTCTAACGTGACAAAAGTCTCTTGTGATAATCTAAAAATTATACTTAACAAAGGTTAGTAAATTAAAACAAAATTTTCCCATACGACAATGAACATAGTCAATAAATCAAATTAGAGAATTTTAACCAAATATGTTTATATCAATTAGATTAAATTTTAAAATAGCATATTACCTTTACATTTTTACTTTAACTCTATTATAAACTAAAATGGTATTAACCATTGAGGGCAAAAAAAGGTAAAATTACACTCTTCACATTATGCAACGAAAATGTCAAACAATGTGGGTAGCAACGAATTTTGATTTAACAGAAGTGACCTGTTTATATCAATTAGATTAAATTTTAAAATAGCGTATTACCTTTACATTTTTACTTTATATTTTAAAAATGTCGGTAATTTGTCGTCTTTTTTAAAAAAAAAAAATTAAAAATATATATCTAAATCATGCTTTTTATGAGATAACAAACCTAGGTTATCCAGAGAGTTTGCAAATACCTCTTTACTATCATATAATTGTTTAAAAAATAAAAAATATTATTATTGACGAGATAAATAACTTTTTAATAAAAAAAAAAAAACCTTCTAAAGTATCATTTTGATTTAGAAACACATAATTCATTAAAAAAATTTACAAATAACCTCTCAATTAGATTTTCCATTTACAAATAATGAAATTTAGTTAATTTTGTATGAAAAGATTAATTAGCTGACCTCACGTTGTTCGGGAAAAGGGTGATGTTACCTTTTTTTTTGTTTTTTTTCCCTCGAAAAAAGTGTGGATTGATATTGTTGTCATTATATGTAAAGATTCGCACAACAACGAGCTCAATGCGGTAGCATTGCTCTTTATATAACAAAAGGATGGTAAGTCCATTGGTTTACACAATTTTTCATGTACTAGTAGAAGATTTGGCAGCTATAGCGGCCCCGCTACTTCAGGTGGAACTTCGGGTTCAGGAATCATACAGAATGCTGTCAAGATATAAGAGAATTTCCAACTGTTATGTATATATTATTTTTGTGTAAATATGATGTATCATAATAGATATATACAAAAAAAATTTAGTTATTTATTTTGAGTTACGATTATTATTTTATATCTTTTGTGTAAAAATATATCTTCTAATAACAATTAATCAGTGTCATGTCTGTACCTCATATAATTTTTATAAATTTACTTAATATAAGATTGATTAGTTAATCGAATAAGAAAGAGGAAATATGTTAATGTGATGTGTAAAAAAGTTGTGTAAAATACACAACAATTTTATACATTAGTGACGTAACATTATATCTTAACAGACTGCTTGATCTAAAAAATTTTATACATCGTGACTGTGTATATTTTAGTATTTTAACATATTGTTGGAGATGCTCTAAGTATCTTTGGTTTCGTAACGTTCTTTCATAGAAAATCAATCATAAAAGTGATAATTAATATTTACTTTATATTTTTGTGGAAGTTTACTAACCTTTTAGGACTAAATTACTCCTTTAAATTATTAGGTCTTTCTTTTTTGCCTTATTATAGATATAAATATATGTATATATAGCTAACCTTCATAGTCGCTCATCTCGTGATTGAAAAATCAAGTATAAAAATTATCATTAATGTATATTTCCTATTTTTAGGACCAAATTAACCTTTTAAATTTGTTCTTTCTTTTATTTTTTCAATTGGTTTTTTAATTATACATACATATATATATATATATGTATAATATATGTATAACCATCTACCTGTTACATAGTAATATTTTTTCCCTCTCCTCACTGTTTCCCATATTCGGTGAACAATTCAGAAAGAAAGAATATATATATATGTGTGCGCGCGCGCGCGCTTTGATGATTCTGCAAATTACCTCTAATTTTCCCGAAGATCTAATCCTCTACTCAATTGTTGTACTGTTTTAAAAATTTTATTTTATTTGAATTAGTCATTAATTACTTTTGGCGTAAAATTACTATAATAGATAAATTCATAAAAGTAAAAAAATCAGTTTTCTTTTAAACAGGCTTTCACGTATGAATATCTCATCCTATAATTGATTAATCACGAATGTCCTCATCTATCTTGAATATAAGAGTTCATCTGAATCATATTTATAAAATAAAGAAAGTAACCAAAAAAAATTGATAGATGAAACGTTCAAGAATGATGTATAAAAACTTTTTTTTGGAGTTAGCTAATCTAATTTTTTCTTTCCGGGCAAAATACGGAGTAATATATAAGAGACAATACTTGCCTATTCATTGGTGAGTAGATTGTACATACTTACTCCTAACGTGGTGCAAAATTAATGGAACACGTGTCCCTACAATATAAAATAATAAAAATTAAAAGATTTGATAAGTTATTCCGATTAAATCCAATGTGATCCAAATCTAACTCTTTTCCCCTCTCACACTATTCTTTTTTTTTTTTTTTTTTTCCAAAAAGTCGACGTTTCCTTTTTAGTTTTTATACATTATTTTTGTTTTATTTCTCTCTTCTTTTTTCCCAAAGAGTTCTTGTTTTAAACAAATTTTAATTTAAATCAATCTTACACTCTAGATTCTGGATTTCTTTATTAAAAAATAAACTTTAATTATAGACCTTGTGAAAAAAAAATTAACTTTTCCTGAATTAATATGATTATTTACAATTTAAAGTAGTTATTTTAATAAATAATTATTTTCTTGACTTTTCATGTTTTGAGAGTCACCAATAATTTGGGTATTAACTGCTATAAGAGTTGTGTGTTTTCAAATATCTTAATATTGAAGAGTGTTGACTTTTAGAAATTTATTGTTAATTAGTATTTAAGTACAATTGTTATTATTATTTCTTAATAGTTTGATACTAACTGCTATTTAAGAGTTGTACATTCTCTGTTACTATTGAGGAGTTGTGCCTTTTATAAATATCTTTTTAATTGATATTTAATAAAATCATACATTTTCACATCTCTTAATACAATCTTTGTTACGACAATTAAATTACGATGTCTACTATAGTTCTTGAAACCTAGACATTTTGGTGCAAAACTAATCAACCTTTCTCAAGTTTGGTTTTTTTTTTTTATTTTTTTTATTTAATAATTTTATTTCCTTTTCTAAAGATAATATTTCTAGATTTTTTTTCCTCATTGGCATGTATGAACAATTATCCATGAACTTCTTTATTTCTTTAAAGTATTAGAAGGATTTTATAATTTTATAAATTTGACCCACTTATAAATTATATATTTTTAAGCATGGCTTATTATTGTGATATGTTATTTGATCAATTTTTTAAAATTATATTTAAATGATCATCAAATCTTATATTTTTATTAGTCCATTGTACCTCGAATTGCAAATCCTCATTGTCTATGAAAAGCATCTCCACTTTAAGGTATCATTCTTTATTGCAATTCTCCTTTGCTTGTTCCATTGCAAATTAATAAATGGATTGTGTTGTTTTAAATGTGTGTAGCATTTTTACTCTCCTTCTCCAAAACTTCATTCTTTTTTCATTTTAATTTCCTATTTTCAAGGAAATATTTCTACATTTTTTTATTATTATTTTTATTTTTAAACTTTGACGCATATCAACCATAACTCTCTATCCCTTCAAAGTTTCAATATTTAATATTCTATATATAATATTTAACAATCAAGTGGAGTAACATTGAGATTGACCTTATAATCCAAATAGTTTTTCTTTTACTAGATTTTAATGTCTTTGTTATTTCATAAAGCTGATTCTAATATATATATATATATATCATAATTTTATTTTTATTTTTTTGAAGGCAATTTTTTTTACACTTTTCTCTTACATGTATAAGCAAACAAACACAAACTCTCTTTATCTCTTCAAAGTTATTATTATTTTTTAACTAAATTTTGAAGGTTGTTAGTATTTTATAAATTTGTTAATAATGTGATATATATATATATATATATAATATTTCATAATGTTTTAAAAATTTTATTTACTTGCATTGCACGTTTTTATTTATGTGCATTGCACGCTACCTTTTCTAGTATATATATATATATATATATTTTCTATTTTTGTGAGACTTTACAACTTGACTTTTTATTATTAGCCTTTCTTTTTTTTCTTGTAGATAGAGACATACAATAAAAAGTCAAGTTAAAGTCTCACAAAAATAGAAAGTAGGTATTAATTAAACTTTTTATAACTGATTTTTCAACCAATAAGACTCTGACTAGCCCTCGTCATAGTTTTTTACTGTTTATAACCATTACACGATTTCAATGACCATGCCATCAGTCCATTTTTTACTATCCAACAGTATAAAATCCAGGTTATGACCGTTGTCCAATCCAATATCTTTTTATATCTAATTTTGTATTTTATAGTTTAGACATGCGGCTCAGTTTATTCCTAAGGTTTATTTAGCAAGTGAACGTTTTTAACATTACAAAAATAAATTTTAATCTTTTTATTCAAAAAAAAGAATGAGTAAATCAGTAACAATCACTTAAAACTTATCTACTTAAAATTTTCAATACTTAATTTCGGGGTAATTAATTTTTAGTTTTATAAAACACCACCTTAATTGCAATAACCTAATTTTATTTCCTCTTGTTGGAACTGCGTTGGAACGCCATGCAGCTCTAGATTCAGGGGCTCTAGCTATAGCCGAACATGAGGGAAAGATCATTTATACCGATAATGACAAGATAATTTTATCAGGTAATGAAAATACTCTAAGCATTTCATTAGTTTTATTAGGTAATGAAAATACTCTAAGCATTCCATTAGTTATGTATCAACGTTCCAACAAAAATACTTGTATGCATAAAAAATCCCGAGTTCAACAGGGTAACTGCATTAAAAGGGGACAAATTTGAAAATACTCTAAGCATTCCATTAGTTATGTATTAACGTTCCAACAAAAATACTTGTATGCATCAAAAATCCCGAATTCAACGGGGTAAATGCATTAAAAGGGGACAAATTTTAACAGATGGTGCCGCTACAGTTGTTGGCAAACTCGCTTTGTGAAAAAACATATTAATAGCTTATATGCCGGGAAGGTTACAATTCTGAAGATGCAGTACACATTAGGTATATTAAGATGTTTATACTTCTTTTCACATACAGAAATATGAAGTTCTTATGTCCAAGTTATTTGCAAAAATAATAGTAAATAATTAAGATATCGCACTAAAATATCAAATCACATAACAGTGACATCAATGACACCCAATTTAATTTGGAACTAAAGCTCAACCAACAGGTACAATCACTAGTCCATTTACCAAGCTGAACGAAATCAATGGATGCATAATTTTGGAACATAAGTAGAGAGAAGAAAACGCTTGCTTGTCAAATCATATGAAAAAGAAAAAACTTGCCAATAACGAATTCCAATAATCCAAACTCCATTGAGAATTTCAAAACAGAGACAAAATTTTAGTACAATAAAATTATAGTTACTCGGGACTCAGAAACAGCAAATGAATAATAGAGCCGAGAAACAGTAAACCAATAACAATGCCTTCAACTCAAAAAGCAGTCGATGAACTAGATATTTGGATCTCACTAAGCACGAACACCCCTATTAAGACTGACCATTCGTGTTGAAGCATCCATCTGTGAACCCCTTGTCAAACCAGTCTGATAAGTTCTTCCATATGCAGCATCTTGATACCGTGTGCTTTGGTAGCCAGCAGAATACCCTCCCGTTCCTCTTGACTGACCCACCCGGTCTCTAGAATAGCCTCCCCCGGAAGTTTGGCCTGGAGCCAATGATCTCCCACCACCAGCATTATACCCCGATCGCCCACTGGTATTGCCTTGCCTCTGTGAGAATGACAAGTTGTCTTGCCACTTACCACCAACAGAAGAGGCCGCTGCAGCAGCATAGTCTTGGCCATCCCTCCGCCTCATGGGCAGGCTGTCCAACCCACCACCACCTATCCTTGCCTCTGTTGCCCTCTCATTACTTTCTGCCAGTATTGAAAGCTTCTCTGTCAACTGGAATGCCAGAGCCTGCAACCTTGTGTGCTCAACATCATGGAAGACCATGCACCGTGTTGGCTGATCCCAACTAGCATGGAGCTCCTCATTGACCATCATTTTGCTCGCAATGCTGTGGGTCTGGACATCTGAAAGATCAAACATCTTTGCAAGCTGATCCAAGTTCAGAGAATCATAGGATGATGAATAAGTGAAAAGATAGGTTCTCAAGGCCTCTTCCTTGATACTGGCCCCGACCATCTCAAGAACATTCTCTCGGTCCTTGAGGAGCCTCCAGACATCAAGGGATTTGATGACATCAAACGCTTTCTGGAAGTCTCCCTTGCTAAGAGCTCTGGTGGCCGCCATTACATGGTCCCTTACGTTTTCAGGGGGGCCAGTAAACGTTTGTCTCTCGCTCACCTCAAGTAATCGCCGGAAAGTCTTACTTATGACTTTGCGCTTGGCATCATGGCTGTTGGCTGCCATGTTGGGAACTTCCAGCAGCATTGCACATATTAGATGGACAGCCTCCAGAAGCTCAAGATTTATGTGCATGTGGTATGGCATCTGCCGCCTCCTTTCCAACCGTTCCTGACAAAATGCAATCATTTACAACAGAAACTTCTTGGGCAAATATATGAGAGAGAGACTATACTAAAGCAACATCTTGCAGAAGAGTTAAGGATGGTGGAAAACACATTTATCAAATCAACATAAACATAGCATTCTACAGCATGCATAACCAACAGTTAGCCCACAACTTAAATCATACAACTCCAATTAGGTTGTCATTCCTGCATAGAATTGTGACAAATACATGTAATTACAAATTTTGCATAATTAGTTTTATAAAACAAAATTACACATGATTTAAATACTAGAGATTGAGATGTATTTCGTTGACATATATCAACAGAAGTAAGAATCAGAAGGAGGAATTGGTCTGCAATGGTTGGCTAAATTATCTAGTGCACTTTAGGATGTATGTAGAGAGAAAGTAGAGAAAAGATTGGTGGTGCTGAGCGATGGATTTTAGTGACAACGGCCGGAGGAAGCTTAGACTTTTGGTTGGATAAAGAGACTATAATTGAAATTAATCAGAGACACACACACACATGTATGTATATATATCAGGTGTTTGCGGATTTTGATTTCTGATTTGGACTTTGATTTGTTACAAACACATGCACATGGATATGTAATAAACACTACACAAAGGAAGAACAAGAGAGGGGTGGTGGAGAGAGATATGGAGGTGGGGGCAGAAGTTGTGGCGGGGAGAGAGATGGTGGGGAATGGCGGCAATGGTGGTGGAGATTGGAGAGTGAGGATTGGAGACAATTAAACCAAGGGCACTTTATTCCTTTTAATTTTTGGGTCGCTTGCATCAGGATGACTTACTCAATTGCTGTATAAAATATGGGGAGTAATTTGGTAAATTGATTACTACGGTTAACCAACCTAATGGGTTTTATCTCAGACAGGGGTGCCAGGGTTATTTTTTAAAATGTTTAATCCGAAGATAATAAAGGGAAACCTTAGGAGAGGTTGGAGCAATTTGCCCAGAAAAAAGCCAGGAATTGTTCAGTACCTATATTGAAGATAGTGTTCTTACATTCACTAATAAAGCTCTCTTAAGCAATCAACAAATATATTTTGTTTGTACACAGAACATAAAGAGAACATCTTGACTTGATTATCATGTGTTAGTTTATAGGTTATGTTAAAAATTAGGAGAAAAGAAATGCTCCAAGGAAAGCGTGCAATTAGAGTTCTAAATTCTAACTGCAGTGAATACGAGTATTGAACAACCAAAACCAAAAGACCAGCTACATTCTGTGTGACAGAATGTGAATTGAGAAACAAAATGATAATAACTGCATTCCAAGCCTCAGACACTCTTTTTCAAGCAAAATACATAAAGGAATCCCATTCAAAAATAATATCCAGTATTATCTGCATACACAATTCTTGAAGAAGTCGTGGCAACATTTCCACAGCCGTAAGTTATTGCGATTATATTAAAGCACAATGGGCAGCCCAATTACATGTCCCAATGCAACAAAAGAATGAAGATGATCCTGATTCATAACATAAATCGATCTTAAATATATCTTTAAGGATTATCCACATCACTGCTTATGACATTCTCTCCTCTCATAGCCTTGACTACAAATTTAGTATCCCCTTCTAAAACATTAGACCATAAAACTTTGTAACTTAATAAGATTAGGAAAACAGCATTAGCGTTGACGATACCCAAAAATAATCAATGCCCAAAAAAAAAAAATTCCAATAAGAGCTTAACAAATCATTAAAACAAAAAATAGAAAGTCACATACAACCTTTCTAATTCAAAGCCAAAGGCAGCAGTAGGGCAATGGTATATTAACATGACAAGTGATCTACAAGCATAAACAAATAATAATAAATAAATAAAATTGTTTTTATTTTATTTTATTTTTTTCCATGCCAAGGAACTCACGTCCATTTTTGCGGGACTTGAATCCTTGACCTTCTACTTTAAGGTAGTAGAGATACAACTAGCCTACATCTCTTGGTGGTTATTAAACAAAGTTCAATGAGAACAAAACTCAACATAAGGTAACCAAACAACTAGACCTGTACACTTGAGCCTAAAGACAATTGCATGGCTACAAGACTTTACACATGGGTCCCACACAAGAATTGGATGCCACCAATGATCACCATCACCTCCTCCCCCTTCCCCAAGTTTTAGAAGTTCTCATATCATGTTCTTTTTAAACAGCAAGATTGCACTTATATTCATTACAAACACATTGAAAAGTTTGCAGCAACTATTAATATAAATACCTGTTCAGGAGTCCTCTCATGATATCGGCTTTGGGAGACACCTTGTGCAAGTAATTCCTTCACTCTACCACCTGAATACAGTTCAGAAAGGCAACCATGTCCTTCAGCAATGAGCCCGACCCTAAATGCACATAGACCAAGCTGTGCCATAGCCCGGTTAAAAAGTATCTGGGTTGAAATGTCCATATGCTGGATACTATCCTGCAAATGACTCATTAACAACAAATCACGGGAGTTTGAAAATTCATCCAGTACAGCATGGTGGTATATGTCACACAGCATTGCTCGGGCCTTCGTTCGCTCATCTCCGTACTTGTATATTAGTGACACTAGTAAATCCATCAACGTCCTGCTGTTCTCTGGAAAAGTGGGTTTGCGAGGCACTAGCTCAGGAGTAACAATAAATGCAGGCGGGCCCCTACTTTCCTCAACCACTTTGGGTTCCTCACCTACCTCTCCTTCCCCATTCTCTCCAGCTTCCGTCTGCTCAACCAACTTCCTCATAGCATCATATACCCCTTGCGGTTTATAATATATGAGTTCAACCCGCTTTAGTGCTACCTTTGCAGCAGCCTTGTAATCCTCAATCTGTTCTAGATATTCCTGGACATCCTGAGCAAGAACCAAGAACATAGGCTCATCCCTGAGCCTTTCCACATACTCACGAGTGTGTGGATCAATGCATTGCAAACTCCTAAAGAACTCAACATCTATCCTCTCAAGGAAGGCCACCAAATTTCCCCAAACTCGAATCGTCCCATTGAAGTCTGCTCCTTTTTGGCTTTCATTCTCTTCCGGCTCCACCGTGTCATCAACCACAATGTTGGGATACTCGACAAGGATGTCCAATATAGCAAGCATATTCTGAACACACTTCTTCCACACGTTTATAGGCATGTGACCACTAAGACTTGGATTTACATCAAACTGCGCAGAAACAACACTGAAGAGTATTTCAAGCTTCTGAGCAGGGGTTTTAGCGACCTTGGTCAGGAAGGTAAGCTGTTCAACCAGTTCAATCCTTCCAGTTCCCTTCCTACCCCGTGCCGCCACAATCTCTTTGAACTTCTTGTTAACTATTTCCCATGTAATCTCACGTGGGTCCTTCATGAACTGCTTGTCCATGATCTTATCTTTCTTGCTCATCATCTTCACCCAAGACCCACCGACCTCATGTGGGTCATCACCAGGATCTTCTTCATCCTCATCCTCCTCCCCTGAATCTGACCCCATGGCAATCTTAGATGGATCCTCCTCAAACTCCAAATCCTCATCTTCATCATCCTCTGTTTGCTCATCCTCATCCCTTTCATCCTCACTCTCAGGATTCTCCCTACACTTATTAATCAAATCCTCATACTGCTTGTTGTTCTTCTTCAGTTTTTGCTTCATCGAATTCAAGGCTTTAGCATTGCTACTACTCATCTTTTTCTTCGCATCTTTATTGGCCAAGGCCTGGCTCAAGAAGTCCTCCAACATCACAAGAGCTTTGATGTAAAGGGCTGGGACCTTTTCAGACTCCGTTACCCTCATGACCTTCTCTAGCTGTTTATTAAGCTTGTCAAAGCTCTCCTGCAAGCTGACCCAGTCATTAATCTTCATTGCATTCTTCATCTGATCAACAGTAGAAGACATTTCTTCAAAGCGTTTGTCTTTGGCAGATCTGACAACACGCTTCTGCCCGTCAGAATCATCGCTATCACTAGCATTTGCCTGAAGGTATCTGCTTCCAGCAGCTGTCGTGGTCGATTCACCTGCTCCCCCAGCACTTACCTCTTCATCATAATCACTCACCTCTTCCTCAGATTCACTGTCACCCTATTAACAGCAATGACAACAATTTTCTTAAAATTAATGAACATAAGATACGTTCATTGAGTACGAAAATAGTACTAACTTACATACAAACATAAAATAACAAAATTGGGATTTGAACATGTAGCTACGAACCTGAGTCCAAAATCGGGATGCCATTGTCCTGCCTGAGTTTTATCCAAGAAATAAAAATATAACAATCTGCATAAAAAGAATCAAAGATCAAATAATTAAAAATGTAACAAGAGAGAAAAATCAAATATTCACAGCTATTGCATTATAAGACACAGACAATAGGTCCATATTACTGCGTAAATAATTGCACCATATAATATGTTAGTAAATGACAATCCCTCATTACCCAAAAGCTGAAAGCACACCACACTTATCCCAAAAAACCTAAACTTTCGTTAGATTGCTGAGAAAATTTCAAGAAAATAAGAGAGAACAAAATTTAAAAAAAATCAGAACCTAACCACCGAATATATATACACACACGCATATGCAAATAAATACACAAACTGGCACACCACAATAATACATATAGTGAAATACACCAACACACACAGATACACACTTGCTTATCACCAATATATAAGAAGTGAAGTGAAATAAATGAACGAATTCAAAGAAAGAACAGTTAAAGCGTCCATACAAAAGTGATGTAACTTTGCCGCATCACAAAATACAAAAAAGATGACCCTTTCACTACTGCCAGAAAAATTACATACATAGGACCTTGTAAATTACTCCAATCGAAACTTTAAATTCTTGCTACTACCAAATCTTCTGTAAATAAATTTTCGTAACCAAGACAAGATTTTGTAGAAGATATAATCACTAAATCGACGAAAATCAACCAAAAATTTCATCTTTTGCGTGTGGATATATATATACGCAGAAAGAGATCAAACCTGAAGGAACGGCCAACGTGTGGTAGCACCGCGGCTGTGAAGTGTTCGAAGAGAGAGAGAGTCTGTGTTCAGGTAACGAGATGAAGAAACCCTAAAGTGGCTCCTTTTGATTTTATTATTGTTGTATTTTATTGAAGATGTGTTATGCGCCGTTAGATAGAGATCCAACGGTTGAATCAATGAATTCCTTGAAGACTGCAAACTGGACTGGGCCAAATCGGTCCAGTTTAAGAAACAGCTTACATGGCCCAATGAGAGGCAAAATTCTCCAGTTCCATATAATCAGCCTTCAAGGCTTCTCCAGTCATGCAGGTCATCACCCATTTTTAATTTCCACTGATTTCAGCTTGGGCTTAACCCAATAGTGGTTCTCCAAGACTCTTAGTCCAAATCCGTATCTAACCCAATTAAATTCTACTTGGGACGGCCCAATTGATATTGGTAAATTATACTAGCCTCCCCTAAGGTTTTAAAAAATTACACAGTTTAGATTATTCGGTTTTTATTTCTTTGACCTTTTTCTAAACCCATTCCCATAACTCCTCGGAAATCACTTTAAGCGTGAAAGTTCAATTAATGTCCTGATCTTAATTTTTCATACCGGGAATGCCCAACAAAAATTCATATAATGAAAGAGTAAAATTGTCATTTTATAAAATTTTGTCAACAGACCTATTAGAAAAATAAATAAATAAATGTTAGGGTTATCATTGAGCACATGCACCAAATTTCAAGAAGATAGATCAAAATAATGGACTTGGATGCTCCAAGTTAAATATTCTAAGTTATCCTAAGTTGAATTTTCTACATATTGACACGTGATATTTAAAATCTATCTACTAATTGCGTTAAACCACATCAACTAATTTAAATAAAGTTTAAAAATTGCACTATTTTGAGATAAGAAAATTTTACCAAATTTTGAAAACTGCACCGTTTTGAAATAAAAAAAATTCACTATTCTTTAACGATGATAATGCCGTTCTCTCTCCCTCGTTTTTCTTGCAAAATATGCGATTTAAATTTTTAAAAAAAAGAGATGACTTTTGCAATTTAAATTTTAAAAAAAAGAGAGTAAAAAAAAAAAGAGGAATTATCGTCGTGCACATATGACTCAGATGCTCATATGAGGGAGAGAAAACGACGTTATCCTATAGTTTTCAAACTTTCTTTAAATTGGTATGATTTAACATATGCAGTAGATAGATTTTAAATGTCACGTGTTAATATGCAAAGAATTCAACATAGAATGAGTTAGAGAAGATTTAACCTAGAGGATCCAACTCCCAAAATAATATACGTTGACCAATTCATTTATGTGTAATTTATCCAAACAACGAAGAGGTTAGTATAATTTACCCTCCTATGAAAATCCTACCCCATCTAAAAAAATCCATTAATTCAATATTCTCTCTCTCACACCTATATATAGTCTTTGTTGGCTTAACAAAGCCAAGCAACGATCCTAGCTTTGGAAAGAAATTGCTGTGCCAGAGAGAAAAAATGCAAAACACTCTGTAATCTTACATTCCTTGAAAAGAAACCATGCTCTCCAATCTTTTCCACCCACATTCTACGGTCTCTCTCACATTAAAACCCACCGCTCCATGTCTCTTGGGCTATCCTCCTTTTTCCCCTCTCTTCTCTCTCTCTCTATACCTTAATCCTCGTTTATTCTTCCCTAAAACAGACACATTTCCAGTTCTCATATAATAAGATATTAAGGCGAGTCTATTCTCTCTCTTCATCTCTCAAAATTGTTGGGCCTTTCTCTTTTCCTCAAGTTTATTGTCACTTATGTTGTATGATTGAAACAGGTATGATAAAAGAAATTTGCTTTATGGGAATTTTTTCTTCTGTTTATAATGTAATTTATATAGTTGGGCTTTGAAGTTCTTTCTTGGTAATGGTTGATGAATTATTTAAATGTATGTACCAGGAGTGTTTGATGAATGTTTTCAGTCAATTTTCTTCAATCTGGTGTAACCCATATTTCACACGGTGGATTAAGAGACTTTTTAAATTGTTTAAATTTGTGTTGGCATCTCTATGGACAAAATCATTTTTATTTATTTTTTATTTCTTGAAGAGGTTTAGAGATCATAGAACCTTTTGAATTCTCCATTATTGATTTATTGTTGAAGATTGGTATTTGTAGTTCTGGCTTCTACTATTACCATGTATAGGTTATTAAAAATGACTTTAGAAAGTTAAATATAGTAGGTGAAATGGCATCTAATAAAAAAAATTAGAGACTTAAAAATTCATTTGGCCGACCCCATTCATATGGGATTAAAGCAGTGATGATGATATAGGATTAAGGCAGTGATGATGATGACGACGACGATTTAAGGCCATTTAAATGCATCATTTGTCTTGAATTTGCAGTAAAAATCTTCATTGTTGTGTGTATGGACAGGTATTGTGATCCCCAAGATCCTGTTTTGTACACATCTTGGTCATTGATAGATTTGTGGTAGGATATCCTGACTTTGTAATAAAACAAGAGTATCCATTTTCTGCCCATTTGCCAATCTGACGAAGTGTTTTAGTTATGTCAATGAGCGTTGCAAGCGATGATGTGAGGACGGTATTGCAATCCATTAGTTTCAATGGTCAAGACTCTGAACCTGCCAAAATGGAACCTTTTGGTTCTGGAAAGATGACCTTTGATAGTTCTGTCAGTTCTAAAGGGATGGAATCGGAGACCATGATTTCATCTGGGACTCCTTCAGATATGGAAAACAATGTGGTTGTTAGATCTACCAGCAACCACATGAGTAGAGAAATTGGCGGTCAATCGCCAACAACAGATAGCACGCCCGAGAAAAAACCCCAAATGGCATCATTTGAGCCTGGTCACCAAAGGTCTCGAGCTGCAGTAAAGTTGCAGAAGGTGTACAAAAGTTTCCGAACCAGAAGACAGTTGGCAGACTGTGCTGTTTTAGTTGAGCAGAGATGGTTTGTATTAATCTCCATGCAAAATTATATTAAGGGAAAGTTGAAACCACATTGGGATGAAGTCAATTCCTTTTGATATCCTCAGCATTTGAAAGCATAGATTCTATCCTTCATAATGGAATTATTGCAATGAGAAAGGGAGTTTTTTCAGGACTTACATACTATAATATTGAAGTTTGAACTGTAAAGAAATCCAAAATGGAATTGTTTCATTTCAATGTGGTGTCCTGACATCCCTTCTCATTCTTCAAATTCTTTTTATCATTAGGTTTGATTTATTTTGACACATTTTTGTAGGTGGAAGTTATTAGATTTTGCTGAACTCAAGCGGAGTTCTATATCGTTCTTTGACATCGAGAAACCCGAAACTGCTGTTTCACGTTGGTCAAGAGCCAGAACCAGAGCAGCCAAAGTAAGTTTTAGACAATATTTGATGTGTGCTCTATTATCAGTCATTAGTCTCTAATCTGTTGGCTTTTGTCCTCATTGGCAGGTGGGCAAAGGTTTATCCAAGGATGAGAAGGCTCGGAAACTTGCTTTGCAGCATTGGCTTGAGGCTGTAAGTATATATATATATATTTTACCTTTAAATGACACCACATGTTCTTCTTCATGGGCTCTTTGTTGATTTTAGTCCTGCTGTGAATAGATTGACCCTCGACATCGCTATGGTCACAATCTTCATTTTTATTATGCTAAGTGGCTCCATTGCGAGAGTAAACAGCCATTCTTCTACTGGTAATATTTATTCAGACCAAAAACATTTGAAAACAAATTGTGTTTCATTCATGATCATTTAACACTTTCAATTTTTTTTTTTTTTTATCACTTTATAATTTCAGGCTCGACATAGGAGAAGGTAAAGAAGTCAGTCTTGACAAATGCCCTAGATCAAAGCTTCAACAACAATGCATCAAGTATCTTGGCCCGGTGAGGCTCATCATCCTTCATGGAACTCCTAAAGATCTTTTTAGAGGCCTAAAAAAATATACCTTAGGTCTTGAATTCTGGTTTATACATCAAACTTGAACCTGTTTGAAATCAAACCACCATCCTGAATTTGAAATTTTCTCAAGACTTGATGGAAATCCTGAATTTGGGAATGCAGAATCTTATAAGTTTTTAAGAATACCAACTACTATATAAATGCCTTGATATCAAATGAGATTTGAGGATTTTCATATTGAGTTGAAATTTGTCTTGCCAATAAACTCTGATTCATATTGCAGACAGAAAGGGAGGCTTATGAAGTTGGGGTGGACGATGGGAAGTTCTTCTACAAGCAGACAGGGAAGCTTGTTGATACAACGGAAGGAGATGCTAAGTGGATCTTTGTCCTTAGCACCTCCAAGACCTTGTACGTTGGGCAGAAGAGCAAAGGCACGTTTCAACATTCAAGTTTCTTGGCTGGAGGAGCCACTTTATCTGCTGGTAGATTAGTAGTGGAAAGTGGTATTCTAAAGGTACAGCAGAACTGAGACACATTCTTCTTTTTCAGATGTTTGAATCTTTTATAATATTAATCTGAATAATCAAATTCAACAGGCGGTTTGGCCTCACAGTGGTCATTATCTCCCAACCCAGGAAAATTTTGAAGCATTCATGTCTTTTCTTAAGGAATACAGTGTGGATCTCAATGTTGTCCAGGTATAATGACTAACCATTGCCTTTATAATATCGAAAAGATATACGCTGCTGCTACGTAGTAAGAGCATGAATATTTGTATCAAATAACACAATTGGCTTGTGGCTAGGATTTGTACTATGATATCTAATGGAAGACAAATGCATTCCCATAGCTTGCTTGTCACATCATACAACATGAACTTTTAATGCCTAATTTCATGGAAGATCTTTATAATCTCAAAATCTTAAAATGGAGCAAATATATACCACCATTGATTTACACTTTTTTGGTTATATTCAGAAATACCCAACCGATGAGGAGGAAGAAGCCCCAAGCAAGACGATAAGCAGTGTTTTCCTAATGAAGAAAAGCTTTTCAGAACCAGCTTTTACCCAAATGACTGAAGAAACCAGTGTGGACGAACGCTTGGCGCCAGAGAATAATACTGATTCAAGTAATCAAAACTCTCATGATGCAGAGAATCCGAATCCACCCTTGTCAAGATATTCTCGAAAATTGCACCCAACGTTAACTACACTTAAAATACCGACAAGGGAGGATGTGTTTGAGATGTTCAAGGAAGAAGAAGTACAGCCAAGTTACAGCTTTAAGCGTGCAGTATCTCCATTAGATGGATATGAAACAGCTGAAGAATTCTTATCAGATGACGATGAGTTCGTAGTTTCAAAACAGAACTTGTTTAACGAAGAACACGAAGAAGAATATGAAGAACCCATCCCGAAAGAAAAAATTCTTCAGAGGATAAACTCACATAAAGGAATGAAATCATACCAGTTGGCTCAGCAGTTATCTTGCAGATGGACTACAGGAGCTGGACCGCGGATTGGGTGCATGAGGGACTACCCTTCACAGCTTCAATTTCGGGTCTTAGAGGAAGTGAAGTTCCCTCCTAGAGCTAGAAGTGCTTATTCCTCTCCCCAGAAATCAGCCCATCCCAGTCCTACGTTTCCAAGTCCTACCAATTCATGTAGAGAAACAATTGCATGCAGAAGTCCACTTTCTTCGGAGCAAGCCATGTTTTCTCAGGTAGCAACACCATAATAAATACTTGGAATGACATCTCCTGACTGCATTTTTATCATTTGTTGGAGTAGAGAAGCTGCATCAGGAGATCTTTTTGACATCTTTAATATACCATTCTTACACAATTCTTTTTGTAGATTCTATGGCAAAATATTTGTATGATTTTTGAAAGAATTTGATGGATTTCACTAACCCCTTGATACATATATATATATATAATAGAGTCCTTTTTCAGCTCTAAAAATCTGTGTCCTTGTTTGTGTCTGTATGCATGTTTGCTTTTATGTGTATTTATATATCAAATTCAACTTCAAGAACTGGAATTGTAAATTAAACCATAAAATGGAACTGGGTATTTTGAAAGGATAACAACCCACTTGAAAAAGAGGCCTTCATTATTATTGCTAGATTACTTATTATTTATCCTCACCATGGATAGAATGGGGGAAAGGGAAGGGATCTTTTTCTGTGGTGTCAAAAGCTGATTCCTTTCTTCATGGTAGATTCTAACACAACCAGTGACGGATCCAGAAATATTGTTAAGGAGAGGTGCCATTGGAATTATGAAAACGCCCGTTTCGTATCTCAGAATAATCACTTCGTAACTTGGTGAATGTTAGATCTGTCTCGAGCTCTCTCAACGGCAACGGGACAGAATTGGATACTGTTCTTTGCCCTCTTATGTTTGCATCAATTACCTTGGGAGATTATTATGCTAACTGAATTTAAGAACAAGTCTACGGTAAGAGACAAATCTCTCAATCCATGCTAAGGTCGTTCCTTTGGTTTTTTTACTTCAATTAATCATCTTTTGATTTATGACGTTATTTTAGGCATTACGGAGATATGGGAAATCTAATGAATGATTGATTGCGTGCCTATGTATACAAGCATATGCGATTTAATTTTGTGCTTACTTTTCTATTCTTGCACTTCATTTCAAATTTTTAATTTAAAAATAAAACACCTCCTTTTCAAAATTTTGGTTTGTAATTATGAAAACAGGTTTATATTTTTAGGAAAAAAAAAAAAATACTCGATTCAATTTTCTGAAAAACAGTCATAAAAAAAACATGTTTTCAGATCACCATAAAAGTTATTATCTGAGAACTGTTTTCTGTTTTCAGAGTTACGAGTTACAAACCTAAAGTTTTATGACCACCATATATACGAAAAAGCAAGAAGAGTTGTTTGAGGGCGAGCCATTTGTCCCCACTTGCCAGAACCAACTTGATGGACCAGGTTTACGAGAGAATATGCCATATACTCCCTTGTCCCATAAAAAGTGTCATGTTTACCCACAGAATTACAAACCTAACAACAATGAACAAGCTTACAAAAGAAGCATGACCAATGTGCCATTGTTGCCGCCGGATTTACCATCAAATCCGTCCTAGCATGTGGCGATGAAGAAGAAGAAGAAATGTTGGAAGTGAAAATTCGGCCGTGAAGGCGCAAGGGAGAGGGAGAGGGATGTTCGACTAAGCTGTTTGTCGTCTGCTAAAGGAGCAAAGGATTATTGAGAGCAAGGAACTGAGGCCAGATGTTTCATTTTTAGGGTTGGAGAAGAGGGGCATACATTCGATTTAGTGTGTTCGGGACTCAGCACAGAAACTGTGAGTTACTAAGTAAACTGCATCAAAATTTAAAATTCGGTTGATGAAAACATTTTACACAAGAAGCTGTTACACCACCCTATCCAATCCCTACTACATGTTGAGACAATAAGCAGTTCATATAATGGAAAAACCATATTGCGCAACCAACAAGAACAACCGCTTCTCTCTTTCTGGGATTGATTCAGTATGGAGTAATCAGTGTTTTAATATGAGTGTAAGCAATTTATAAAATACAACATCAGGAATTGACTGACTGACTATCATAGCAAGGCCTGTGTGTACTCTAATGCTCTTAATCTGCGGTTGCTTGGGAGTGCATTCCTGACACCAACAGAACCATACAACTTGAAAGTTGAAAGTAACAACTTTATTAGATGAAAGGGAACATGATATACTCAGCATAAAAGAGATTCCATATAAACCGGTAGAACCCTGCAATTGCCTCCTGCAAGATTCAAAGTAAATGAACAATCAGACACTAAGAAATTCTGAAGTCGTCTAGTTGAAATTAAATGACCATGTTTTTATCTTTCTGGACAGCTTTGCACCACGACAATGTACTCATTTCACTATGCAAACAGGCTCCCAATTCCCATATGTTGGTCAGAGTAAGATCAATTTGAGAAGCCACAGCTTTGACATGGACTTGGATGCTTTCAAAATGAAACCAGATTCATTATATATTACAATGGCTGCCTAGGAGGGAGGAATCACATATGGGTCATTTTGTCGTCTGAGGAAAAATCTTCTCAGTTAATTTTAACTAATGACTAAAGATACAAACCCATTGTCTGAAATGGAGTCTAGGCTACACACACCTACCCATACTCGCAGGCATGTGAGCACAAAATGAAGTATTTCTTTTTTACAGGGTAAGAAAAGAAGAAAATCCAAATTCTGAATACCATTACCGTGTAAACTTAAGAGGAAAAGCAAAAGCTAATTTTCTTTTCTTCCCCACCCCCGCTCTTTAGTTTCACCTTTTTGTCCTTTAAACAACTTCAACATGTAGGGGTATATGGCTATTATAGTAAAAACAAGTGACACTTTTCCCATTTCCTTGACCAAAAATTCGGAGGGAAGAGTGCCTTCTTTCTAGAGGCCTTCTCCATCTCTCGCACCTTCCCTTCCTTCCAATATTCTATTCCTTGTACCGTAGGATGCACAAACACTTCTCCTAGGGGTGCCGTGGCGTATTGGACACGCGGAAACGCGTGGGACATGGCTCGGACATATGTCAAACACAGCTAGAAGTCTCACGGAATTTGAATACTATTTTTTTTTTTTGTTGGACACAGTTGAGACATATTTTAGACACTTTCAGGACACGACGAGGTGGTTTTGTAATTATTTTTTTTTAGAATAATGTAGTTCAATGCAATTAAAAGTATATTATGGATAACTTAGAAAAATAATTTAAAATTTTAGAAAAAAAATAACAATAATCTATCTCTAAGCTCCAAATTAGTGATTTCATTCATGATTAATTATATTACACAAAATGAGCAAAATTTATTACTTATATAATAAAAATATATTATATTATTAGTATTGACGCATTCTTGCTGTATCCGTATTGTGCTGTGCCGAAGCACATACCAAATGGAGCAAAAAGGTCCTAACAATACGACTTGCATTCACAGAAAAAATATAACCAACATAAATAGAACTCAATGTCGGGCATTACCTTGGTATAATTTGCTTCTTCCAATAACCATGTCTGAAACCACAAGATTGAAATATTATGCAAAAGAGAATAGATACAATAAAAGTAACCACTACCAGACTAATTTCTAGGAGAGAAATAAAGCATAGGAAATGCATGACTTACTAAAGACCATGATAATTGTATATATACCAAAACAATTTGCATATAAACTACAATACTTAAATGCCAGTGCAATTGCTGTGAGATATAAAATTTGTAATTGGCGAATTTCGTTGTCAAAACAAGTTTGATCGAGTTGAAATTTTAAGTTTAAATTCCAAGTTCGAGATCAAAAGCGGAATTGAAGAGTTGTTCGTGATCAATAGCTTGACAACTTTGAAAAGGGTAAGAACAACACTTTAGGAAGCCTAGTTAGAAGGAAAGGACACTTGCATGTTTTCAAAAAATTAGCGTTGCCAAATTTTTCTAACTATAAAACCTTCAGTTCAGGTATGGCCAACTTGAACCTGTTCAAGAGCAGTTGAACCGGTTGAAGCGTTAAAGCTTTGTTTTTAAAATATACACTAGCCAACTTGAACCGGTTCAAGGGCAGCTGAACCGGTTCAAGTCCTACAGTAGTTTTTGGTAACTTTGTTTCCTACTCTGTTTTAACCTCCTATTCTGTATAGACTTTCTCCTAAAAGCTTATGCACAAAATTGACTTGTTTTCCAAGTACAATTAGGGTTTCAAAAGTTTTTGGCAAGGACACTTGCATGTTTTCGAAAAATTAGCGTTGCCAATTTTTCTAAGTAAAAAATCTTCAGTTCAGGTCCGGCCAACTTGAACTGGTTGGCAGCTGAACTAGTTCAAGTCCTACTACAGTTTTAGTAACTTTGTTTCCTACTTTATTTTAACTTCCTATTATGTATAGACTTTCTCCTAAAAGCTTATTGTTTTCCAAGTAAAATTAAGGTTTCAAAAGTCTATAAAACATATTTTCTCACTTAGGGTTGTGTGGTTTTTGGCATTAAAATTCCGATTTTCATTAAGAGCCTTTTTGTGATATTTTTAAGAACATACATACTATACACACATGAGTGAATAAGGGTGTTATTCAATTCCTGATCGAGTTCAAGTCTATTGAAGATTGCATCTACAACGATCAGAGAAAGCAGATTTTATTTATTCTACAACAAATTCAGATTCGAAGAAAAGAATTTCCAATCACACTTTGAAGGGACCCTTGCGAAGTGTTGCTGATTTACAGCAATCCTTCTACAAGGTTTGAGGCATAAGTCTGAAGTCGAGAGTTGTTGGATGGGAAGTCGCAAAGCCAGGGACGTTCAGCGGATTGAGTCTTGGTAGAGTGAAGGGGTTTGAATCTAAGTCAAAGTTCGGTGTACTTTGCTTCATACATAGTGGATCGTTTTACGCTTGGGATAGCGCACAAAACCTCGAGGTTTTCCAATTGGTTTCCTCGCTAAAATCCGGTGTCATTCTAAACTTTACTTGCTTTTAATTTGTTTGTAATTGACCAATTAACCGGTAATTTAGTATAGTATAAATGGATAAAGAAACACTTGATTAATCCCTCTGAAAACTATTTTTAAACTCAACTTTCCACAACCTATTCCGTTGCACAACTCACAATTTCCACATAAGCAAATAAACTAAAAGAAAAAAACAATCAACAAGGTCAGTTGCTAAGGAACCAGTGAAATTTCGCTCAGGAAAAATGATTTATATAAAATCAATTACCAATGACATTTACGCTGGATAAAGCTGGTTCATATAATCATATTCATCCCTTAGAAGATGAAAGTGGTGGCAAATTCATTTCCATTTCCCCAGAACTGCCAGGAAAAGCTTCACTGCTAAGGTACCACTAGCTGTTAGCTTGAGTGGCATCTCCTGCCACCCCCAAAGGAGGAGTTGCAAGGAACAAATATGGGTTGGAAAGAGAACTTAATTGTTAGGGTTATAAAGACAACAAAAGGGACTTTTCCAAGGTTTATAAAGAAGAAGTTCTTATGTTGAACAAGTCAATCTAAGAGAAAAGTAGATGATAAAAGGTCTCAGAAGAGGAAATATTCCAATAAATTATTTGTCACAGGATATACTAAAAAAAGAGGTCGAAATAAAATTGTGGATGATGACAACAGGGGACTATGTTACTGTTTGTGAGATATATATATTTTGTAATTAGCTAATTTCGTGATCAAAACAAGTCTATGTCGAGTTGTAATTCCAGTTACTTGTACTGCAAGTTATCAAATTCGACAGCGTCTACAGAACTGGGAAGTTGTTCAAACTTACCATGATTGAAGATCATTTGAAGCAAAAGGTAAGAACAACACATTAGGAAGGATTCTAAACAGGTTATGAGACATTCTACACTTTCCATATTTTTCAAAAGTTTCTGTAGAATGATTTTAGGCTAAAGGAACCAAAGTTTCAAGTCTGCCAAACTTGAACCGGTTCAGCCTCTCTAAACCGGTTCAAGATGCTCAAGTTTGGCTTCGAAAAGTTTCAGCCAAACTTGAACCGGTTCAGCCCCTCTGAACCGGTTCAAGGTATCCTGTTCACTATATAATTTCAGTTTCCTTATCTTGAATTGTTTCCCAGTTGGTTTAGAATTGTACCAAATCCTATGCACAAATTTTTCCTTATTTTCAGAGGGATTAGGTCGTTCTATGCTCTATATAAACCATGTCATATACATTGGTTTATTCATAGCTTTAGGGATCATTAATTATATATTTTGAGAAAGCCTTTTAGAGAGAGAAATCCAGAAAATCAAATCTGAGTGTTCTGAATTTATTTTTGAGAGCACACACATTCATGAGTGATTTAGTTGTGTTGTTCTCTATCTCATCGGAATTGGAGATATATTGAAGATTCAGATATTCCGTATGAAGAACAGGATTTAATTCTTCTACATCGAGTTCAGATCTTGAAGAACAGAAGTAAAAGCGATCACACTTTGAAAGGGTTGGAGCATTCGAGAAGTATTGTCTGATCTACCTGCTACTCTTCTACAAATATCAAGCATAAGCCTGAGGTCAAGTTGCTGTTGGACGGGGAGTCGCAAAGCGAGAGGATTGTCAGCAATTGGTGTTTGGTGGAACGATAGGGTATGAGCCAGAGTCAAAGTTTGGCGTACTTTGCTTCAAACATAGTTGATCGATTTACTTTGGACTGCACAGTCCACGAGGTTTTTCCCATGCAAACAGTTGACGTATTTTAACAACTGGGGTTTCCTCGCTAAAAATCCTAGTGAATCTCTCTAAACTTTTACTTGCTTTACTTTACAGTATTTATATTTGTGATTGTGGATGATTAATTTGATCATATAATTTAATCAATCATAAATTGAGCAAGTTGACCTAATAATCAGATCTAGGTCATTAAAGGAGTTAATCACAATTAAAATCAACTAACTGTTTCCGCACTCCGCGTAACTCTATTTTCACACTGTTCAGATCCCAACTCAATGCAACTTAAACATGACAAAAATAGACCCACGGCACACACATTACAGAAAGAAATAATGCAGAAACAACCACATAAATGCAAAAAAAACAACCACATGAAATTCTCTATGCTGACAATAAACAAAGATGAAAAATTCAACGACATTTTATTACAAACTGAAACATACATGCATATTATACATAAAAGGGACAAGGTAACATATATATACATATAAGCATCCACGACTTTAGTGCATTGTTTACCAGTAACTATTCAATACCTTTGTAAAAAATTGATCACAGCACAGAGTAATGTTGAAGGATTTAAATATTTAAGTTACATCCTCTCTAACAACTTTAACTTTTGGAGTGGATGGTTGACAACATGGTATTAGAGCAGGCAAGGTTCAATGTTCAAACCTCACCGTCACCTTGATAATTTAAATTGAAACACGTGTTCAAACACCATTGCTTTGAAGTTTTATTTATTCGTATGTATGGATCTAACCATTCTTGATATGAAATTTGAAACTAATACTCAAAAAAAAGCAAGGGTTTTATTGCAGTATGGATTGTGATATTTGCATGCCGTAGCTCATTATTTTGAGTAATATCCAGTAAATTGTTTATCAATGACTGATATATGATTATGAATTGAATTATAAACGTACATATATTAAAGGGTAAATTACACAGACCTCCCCTGAGATTTGCCCTAATTACCAAGATGAGAGAGAGGGGATAGAACTGAAAGAATTGACGGATGCAAAGAATTCTCAGGAAATTTCATCTGTTAATACACAAGAAAAATAATTATAGATCTTACGAACAAACCTGGAAAATTAAACTCAATGCCAAGATGGTATGTGCAGGGATCATCAAGCTGCGCCTGAAAGCCTGAAGTACATGTAAATGAGAGACCACGTGTTTGGGAACATTTATTGTTGATAAAAAAGTTCATCATTTTTATATGAATGCTCGTAAGACGCAAGTAAATAATACATATATAATCAAATTTCATAAAATAACCAGGCATCAAAAAGTTAGGCTCCTATGTATTCACCTGGGGCATGTAGACTGCTAAAGATACAGAACCAATATAATTTAATAACAAAAGCCCAGAACCAAGGAATGCAATGTTTCTAACGCCGAGCTTTGTTGCCAAAGTAGATATCTGAAACCTAGGAAAACAATTAAATCAAAGACAAAGAGGAATGATTAGCACATTAGCAGTAACCATATGATTTGCTATTGGATTTGAATAAGTTGGTGACAAAAATTCAAGAAATGAGTGAGCAAATCTGGCAAAAAGTGTAGTACAAAAAGAGAGGGAAAAAAAAGAAAAGAAAAGAAAGAGAAAGAAAAAGAAAAAACAAGATAGAGCAGTTGTAAAAAACAATATAATAAACAAATATAGTAGCAGGCATTTTGTAATAAATTTATCCATTACTTACTTACGATCCCCCTCTACATCTGGAAGATCTTTAGTTATGGCAATGACCAGCGCAAACAATGTCACAAAAGTTGTGATGAAAGCCACAGGTAAGCTGCAGACAGAAATTGATAATGCAAATATGAGAATTTTTCTCAACAGTTGAATAAGTATAAAACATTACGCCTATCTCAAACACCATACCCAACATTTCAATTGCTCTAGAAGCGTACATTGCTTCTAGATTGTATTGGGGCAATAAGTTGTGTAATACTAGGGATATTCCACATCTAGGAGTTGGTCTACCAACAGAATTGGTCCAAGCAAGGACTCAGCGACCCCTTCTGGTGAACCCAAGTCATTCTTCATATATGTTGTTTGACTATGAAAGCTAGCTTATTTATATAGCTTCTTGTCATAAAAGTACAGGTGTACAGCATGAAGCAAGAAATATTAAGTGACAATTACCTCCATTCAAATGTAAGTCCCAATGCAGCTCTTGTGGCATAATATACGCCAAAATTAAGAAGAAAACCTCGCACCTGTGAAATTTAATTATATTAAATCTTTTTATGGATGCATAAAATATTCATATGGTATTACAGGCACGTAACAGAAATAAAATTATTATTTAGTACAGTGCAAAGTCATACCAAAAAAATAATAATACCTGTAGGATAGAACAATCAATAGTTGAAATTTGCATAAAGCGCAAGGTCTTTAAATAAATCAAATACTGTATATACCATATACCATTAATTACAAGCTTTGACAGACATTAAGTGGGTGAATGAATATGTTATTAGTAAGATGCTATTCTCTTCCTAAACAGCATTTGATTGATAATGAAATTTACTAGGTGACAGGAAATATCTGTAATTGACATTATCCCAGGCCATACAGGGACTGGCACCACTTGAAAATGAAATCCCATAGCTCTGAAATGACATCTTTTATTTTCCTATACTTTAGGAAAGGCTTTTTCTTTAAGGCACTAGATGACATCATGGTCATTCAGGAAGTGAATTAATGGTTCTGTCTCTTTCTCCATAATCAGTCAAGGAATTTTACACGGTGATATTAAATCTGCAGATGCTATGGGAATCATTAGAACACTTTTCCAACAACATGTAGTTGTCACGCATCACTTTATTCTAATAAAAACTAGTAAACTCTAACATAGAGGGATAACGAGAAGAACATACCATGGCAATTATAAGAAATGCTACAACAGGAAACCTCTTCATTCGAAATGGGGGAACAGAATAGATAGTGCCAAGGAAAAGGCCAAGACTATAGAGGGCAGTAATGAATGGACCGAAGTTCATCCCAACAATTAAAAGGCCAGTCACTGCAAAAAGTAACACCAAAAACCATGCAGACTGAACTGAAAGATCTCCTGCAGCTATAGGTAAATAAGGCTTGTTTACCCTGCAATTGAAATAGAAACCCATGGAAAATATCTTACTTGATACTATTTAGATAAATTAAAAAATAGAAAAAGAGGAAACACCTTGAGTCTTAAGTATATTAAGAACCCCATACGTGCAAATAAAAGGCCAACAGTTAAAAGAAGAAATTGAAATCACATGAGAATCTAAACAATGCAATAACTAGTGAAGCTTATCCGGCAATTGGTTTGGATGTATGAAGATTGAATGGGAGAGGATTAAGTTGTGTAAGGAAGTCCTGGGGAGAGAACATGGTAACAGAAAGGTTTCATTTTTCAATTTAAGTTTGATCATCTTATAGAGTACGGATTTGAAAAGGCATTAGAAAGGATTAGGAGGAGTTCTCTATGCATATTAGATAGGTTGCAAAGAATAGAGAAAGGGGGAGATTTTGGCATGATTATGGCTCTAAGGTTGGCCTTTTGAAGCTGACCTTTCCAGGATCAGAGTTGATAAGGAGATCTTCATATAGCCGATTATGCTGGGATTCCGAAGTGTGGGTGATCTGCAACCTTCACTTCAGTAGGTCGTTTTAGAATTGAGGATTGGAGGCAGGGGATGCTTTCGTCAGCATTTTGTACGCCATTACCTTTGATGGGTGGAGGTAGGACTCCTTAAGTTGGGTGACTCCAAAGATAGGGAAGTTGCTATGCATTATTTCTATAGGGTTTAGGCTGCTTCGCATACTGATGTCCGTTCCCAGGTCGGTTTCTTTGGGAATACAGTGGTTCTAGAGAAGACTTTAAGAATTGATATTTTGGCAAGTATGGAAAAAGTCCTGCAATCATGGTGTTGCATATGTAAGAGTATTGAAGAGAGTGTGAATCATTGCCCCATTCGCAGGGAGTTGAGGTGTCTTCCTTTTTCTCTTTCAAGGATCCATTTGGTTATGCACACGAGGTAGTCAGTAGTTGCTAAGTGACAGGCTGAGAAAAATTGCCAGACTGTTTAGCAGATATCATCAGTGTGCCTTTATTGGTGCATATGAAGAAGTAGAATAGGTGGTCTTTGAAGGAGGTGGAATAACTGATTTTCAAACCGAAGCATATGATATTGAACTCCTGTAAGGAATAAGCATTCTTTTTTTTTCTTTTTCTTTTTTTATCCTGGCAAATTAGGGAGAGGGGGGACTCGAACACGGGCACACCTGCTTAGAGAGCTAGGTGCTCTACCAACTAGGTCACTGGGTAATGCCCGGAACAAGCATTCTTTTGAAGAGGTGGCTTTGCCGGCTTTGTCATTGAAAGCTTAATACATGTAATGTGGAGCTCTATTACATTGACTATTTTAAATGCATAAAGTGACCATGTTGGTATATGACACGGTTACGGATATGAGATATGTCTCCAATATATTTAGATAAGTATCTGATATATTTAGTTAAAGATTCACCTACAAGTATGTGTATTAATTGTGCATTATGTAGTTGTTGATAAAATTCTTTTGTTCCTTCTCTTACATTGCAAAACTCTCTTCTAATTCAAGTTTCTTACTCTATGTTGAACACTATCTTACATAAAACAACATTTTATGCAATAAAGCAAAAGAGAATATTAAAACAATATCAATATTTAGTCGTTCCCCATATCCTTGAGTTTGGGAATTTGATTTATTTCCACACATGCCGTATTGCATTAAACATGTTTGTTCAGCTCACAATATTTTCGGCCAAAAGGAAGATCCTCAACTTCGGTTAATTCTTTTGTAGGTTTCATGTTATACATCACTTTATGCATATCTTATAGTTTGGTATCTTTTTGTTGTCCGTGTAGACATCAAGTGTACGTGGGTTGCACCCCCTTTGAAACTTCTTAGTAATTTGTGCTCATCTAGGAATTTGAACAAATAAATAAATAACAGAAGAAGCTAATCGAAATCTTTTTGAAAGAGTGCAAGGGGAGTCTCTAAACTAGTTATTCCATCATGAACCATTTTCCTTTTTTATTTTTCATTTTCTCTTATTTTGGAATTGAGAGTAGTTGACAGTCCTATTCTGCCACTAACTTGCCCATTTTGAGGTAGAACTAACAGTTTCCTATTATGGGCCCATTTGTTGCCAACCCGCTAGATATGATGATACAGGACCTATCCTCATGGAATATTATGTGAGATGTTTCTTGCATGTTATACTACAATGAAAAAGAACAAAATATGTTAGCATCACTTACTTGTCAATTCCAATATCATATATTTGATTGATGCCCACTATATAGCCATTGCCGCATATTAGAGCAAGAAGACCAGAAAGGGCCTTCAACACTAGAGACCACCTTATCAAATTTGAGTTCTCAATTAAAGCTCTTGCTACTAAAGAACTGTCAACAAAATAAAAGATGAACTAAAATCAATTATAACAAAATAAGCTAGCAAGAAAATTATGTAAATCAATAATGAGTGCTGCATTAACATGATAATTACTTACGTAGACCCCAATGCTGTTCCACGTATCGTGTGGGGTCTTAGAAATCTCCAGAATGCATCTTTGAACTCGGAAATTTTCTTTGAAACAGGATCAGATCCAGCAGCACCAATTTTAGTGCAGGCCTGGCAGCATCAACTTTCACATGAATGCCATATTAAATCTTTGAACCTCAACAGTGCCATGTCAACCAAAATGTTAACCACATTAATTGACCAAGTCCAGAATCATGTAAAGGGAGGGTCAGCACTAGCAAGAATGCCAAAAAATAATGTCAATCAAATAATGTCGACATTTAGATTTGCATGCTAATAAATAAACACTGTCTTCTATCCGTCATTTTCATTCACAGAATCATAGGGTGGTAGGTAAATGAGGCAATAAAAGATTTGCTTGTCAATCAGCCTTACCTGAATGTTTTAGTAAAGAACTTCACTTTCGGTTCTGATCCTTCTATATAACAGGTTTTAGGTTCACTTTCATTTTCTTAACCTGTTTATAATCCGTTGTGTTCCAAGACCAATAGGCTAAAATGATAGCTTTCTTTCAGATAATATATAGTACACAATTATAAAGGGGGACTAATAGTTATTGGATGTTCTTCTATTAAAAATATGCAATGTTAATCTATTTTATCATGATAAATTTCAATATTCAATTATCTACCATGTTACTAAAGTTAATACAATTAATGCTTTGACTATAATTATTCCTTAATAAACAAAATACATAAATTACTGCTATGAGATTAAAGAATACAGTTCCCTATCCTATCACATTATTTGGACTAGAGTAGTGATACTCACACCGAACACTTGCAGTGAATTGCCTAACTGAATAATTTTTAATTGTCTATTTATACCAAATACAACTAAGTGGAGGGCTCCACTTCCTTATTTGTTGCATAATTGACCAATTAAAAGAGTAGGTCTAACAATTCACTGCAACTATCGGTGCAAGAATCATTTTCCTTTGGACTAATGTAGATCCAGAACATAGAGGATTAGAGTGTAATAGGGGACATAAAAGCCACAACCACATTTCCCAGTTATATGTTTCATATGAGGTAAGTTTGATTATTAGTTCTAACTTCTAACCCTGTTTTTCTAAGTAGTGAAACATGTAATATATCGAACAGACAAAATGCAAAAGTGAATAAAAAATAAAAGCCTTTAAGTGATTTGTTATCATTATAAATAGTTCAAACGCTCCCCCACTCTTTTCCCCACCAAATCCAATTGTTCATGAAAAGAGAAAATCGGTTCAGGTCAGCATTACAGAAACCTGAAAGATTGAATATTACCTGCAGTCAATTGCTTCTTGACATATTTAATTGAAGTATGTAACTTATGCTACGTATTGCAAGTAGCAATAGAGGGCAGTAAGATGGTGATTTTGTAATAGAATAATTTGGTGCAATGACTCCAATAGTACACTTTTAGAGCATCAAAGTACAGTGCAATTGATACACCCTACCAAAATAATAATAAATAAATAAAACAACACCAACAACAATGCAATACAAATTCAAAGTAGTGAAGTATATAACAAATACAACTTCCATTGTAAAAAAAAAACAATAAATTAGAATTACCCAGATGATCAAACATGTGCTCAATTGTTCAACTGCTCAATTATTCAAATAATATTTTACTCCAAACTTAATCAATTACATCTCTGTGTCACTTTCTTTAGTTTAAAAAAACCAAACCAACCCAAACACATCGTTGGCAGATGAGGAAAACACAGATTTATGGCAATTTGAAGAAATTAGACATACCCAGGTGTAATTACGCTTGTAATTTCTGTATGAAACAGTTGTTGAGCTGGATCTGTGATCATACAACACAGTTGAAGACAATTTTTTGGAATGATTCAGTGGCAAGCCGAAAATTTTACAGTTGGGCTTACTGGGTATCTTTCTATAGCGGGAGGACGTCTCACAGTAAGGAGATGTAGCTGATATACGAAGGGAGGAAGAGAGTGAGAATGAGACCTCCATACAGAGCAAGAAGAGAAAGACAGGAATGACAAATGAGAGCCAGAGAACTCGTTCCAGTGGTTTGCTCCATTAAATTCTCCTCGTCCCATATTTAATTGTTCCGATTACCCCCAAAAAAATATATTTATCCGATATGAGAACTTGCAAAATTACTTTTAAACGTTTTTTTTAAAACCTTGACTTGACATTTGACAATGCAGCGTAGTTTATAATGAGTTATTCCCATTACTAAAACTAAAATAATTTTTTTCTTAAAAAATATAAAATAAATTTAAAAAATCATTTAATATGTATTTAATTTATTTGTTAAATATGAAAGCATTACTGTGATAATATATTATTTGGCAAAAATGTCAAAAAAAAAAAAAAAAAAAAAAAAAACTCTCCTGACCTATCAAGAAAGTTAAAAAATAAAAATAAAATTAAAAAAAAAAACCTCATAAACTATCTCAGATTGCAAATCAAATCATGAACTATTCAAAAGTTGCAAATCACCCTCTCTCGATCACATGATCATGGGACATCATTTTTCGAAGGTCAAAATTATCAAAATACTCCCATTTATTTTACCTAATAATAATAATAATAGCAGCAGCAGTAAAAATAATAATAATAATAATAATAATAATAGTAATAGTAGTAGCATTAGTATTAGTATTAATAATAACAATAATAATAATTTTACAAATACCAAAAATAAATTGCTTGATTAGTTGGATTCGTATATCTACAAAGAGTTTTTACAAGCTAATAAATTATAATAAAATAGTTCAAATAATAATAAGAAGAAGAAAAAGAAGAAGATGATGAACAAGAATAAATAATAATAGTAGTAATAATTATTAAGATAATAAAAATAAATTACATAGTTGCAAGATATGTGAATTACTTTTTAAACATCTGCAAATTAACTTTAGAGTTTGAAAGTGCCATAGAAGCAAGATTATTTTTGAACACCAACAAATAAATGAAGTACTTACTTTTGCTGATAAAACATATGCATAATTGCCATAAAAAATTCAGCAGAAATTATATGCCGCTGTACATCTAATCCTGTCCAATGTATAATATTTTTATATAATACTTCCTCCTAACAGAGCAACAATGAAATAGAGTGAATTAATCATATTGCTGCAAAATAATATCATTCTCTTCTAAATTTTTTACATGTGCATTCAGAAATAGAACAACCAAGTGATTTCTATAAAGAAGTAACCATCAATTCAAATTGGGTATTGACATTAAACCCGCATGCATTCTTGAATTATATAGTAGAAAGATAAATTAAAATATGATCACACTACAATTTAACCGATTTTCACAATGTAAATAAATTGATTACAATATATTTATGGTAGTTCCAAACTCCAGAGTTTCTATTAATTCCGGTTCTAAAAGTGATCCACATATTTTGCAACTAAACAATTTATTTATTATTTATTTTTATTATTAATTATATTATTATTATTTGAATTATTTTTTGATAAATTATGAGCTTGTAAAATCTGTTTGTAAACATATCGACCAACTAATTAAGCAATTTATTTTTGTTATTTTTTAAATAATAATAATAATTATTATTATTATTACTACTAATATTATTAGTTATTATTGATATTAATATTATTATTGATACTGTCTATTATTATTAGGCAAAATAAAAAAAATAAAAAAAACCTCAACTATTTGGTTAGTTGCAAGATGGGCGCCAAAAGGTACTAGGAGTATTGTGCATTAATGATATTTTATAAATTTTAAACACTCTGGAGGTCGAAAAATGACCTCTGATGATCGAGAGGGAGTGATTTGCAACTTTTGAATAGTTTAGGGTTTGATTTGCAACCCCAAATAGTTGTGATGTATATATAAATTTTTTTTTCACTTTTTTTATAGTTCAAGGGAATTTTTTTTCTTTTTTTCTTTTTTCCACTTTTGCCTATATATTTAGACTCGATACAATTTAATAAATTTACCAAAAAATAAAAAAGTACATTACTTAACATGTATCTTTAAAAAGCCCAAACCAAAAAATAAACTAATAATATGAAATCGAGGAATTACTTATTTTGCACATTTGATGCTACACTTTTTGTGATTTATTTCGTCACTGTCATGCTTTGTGTTTGGGACCATTAATTAATTTATTTTTGAATGGTAAAATGTTTGGTCATTATTGATTGTATATTTGAAGATGCAAGAAATTCATTCCCTCTTTCTCTCTCTAGAATTCTTACACTTCAACCCAAAAAGATTTTTTTATCTTTGTTATTCCTTCCCTTATTTATTGATATTTACAAGATATTTACTGATTGTTGGATCTGGGCCTGTTCCTCCATAAGTCCTGGTCGCCTTTGATGGGCTTATTTGCGTTCGGCCCATATGGCAGTGTCTTTTTATGGGCCGACCCAGCTGTACGGACCGGATGTCGCGCTTGCAAGTCAGATCCGGCCCATGTCGTTCTGGGCCTCCTCAACTGCCCCCATAATTGCCCCTTATTTAATAAGGGGGTAATTATTGATGGCGTCTCATCATGACGTTGACGGCTCGAGAAAACCACGTGGGGGAACGGACGGTCAGATCCAGAATCAATGTTCCGGGGCTCGAGGAATTTCTCGCCTTCCCGACGCTTCGGCCCTCGGGCCCCCCTCGCGTTTATAAAGCTCGAGAATACCACTTCACGTCCTTTTACCGTCTCCATCATCAGTCAAATCTCTCTCTTTCTAGAACTGTGCTAAGCTTTTTCTGGTGAAATCCTTCAAGAGTCTTTCTTCCAGCGATCTTGCAGTCCTCTGAGGTTAGTTTTGTTCCTTTTTACTTTCAGCAGGCTTCTATTTACCCCCTTTTAGATCCTTCAAGCCCTTCCACCATGGTTGTAGATCTGGATGTTCTTCGTATGAGACTTAGACTTCCTGACAACATCGAAGTTAGGGTTTGCCCCCAGGACGTTAACATTATGACCGGTGCCGGCCTCCTGCCCGGCGAAGTCTTATTCACGAACCTTCAATTGAATGTTGTTAGGTTCCCTCTGCACCCTTTCTTTAGTTATGTCTTCAATAGATTGGGGATATCCCCCCTGCAGGTCAACCCCAACTTCTTTAGAATCATATCCGTTATGCTCCTGTTGATGCGTGACAGAAATCTGGACCTTGACCTCATAGACCTTCTTTTGTGCTATAAGGTCAGTAAGATCCGTACTAATGAACCCTTCTACCACCTCTACCCGTTCGAGAAGATGTCCATATGTACGGACACAATAAAATCTGAAAAGGGTTGGAGGGATAGCATCGTGGGCATTAATGGGGCTTGGTCTTCGCCGGCTGCAGAGGGTTACCCAATCCCGAGCGCCTTTGGTGTCTATTCTGTCTCCTCCTATAAGAAATTCAAATCTCATAAACATGATTGCCCCTGCGAAACATGCGTTCCCCGTTTTTGTACTTTCTTATGCCGTTCCTTAGGAATACCTTGTGATGACTTGAGCTACAGTGTTTGCAGGGATAGGAGTAATTACTTGAAGAAATACGTTCTGAACGATATTCCTTCCTGCTCAGACCTCCTCACTTCAGACAACCTATTGGCGCTCTCATCACTCGGTTACAACATGAGCAGGCTTCAGATTCCTTCTTTTGGCAGGAAGAAAAATACTCCCCCAGCCACTCCTGCTGCTGGGGCGATTTCCTCTCCAGCATCAGCCTCTTCTTCAGCCACCATCTCTGATACTATCCCGAGCACAGTGGCTATTAACTATGTTGTCAGCGCCCCTGCTGCCAACCAGAGCGCGTCTCCCCAAACTACCACAGCTCCTGCGGCTGCGGGGGGCGTTCGGGACAAAGAACGAGGCAAAAGGCCTCATCCTGACAGTGAGGTCGATCCTGAGGAGGAGCCTCTCATAAGAAGGACCCGGGTTTCCGGGCCGGGTGCTCTCTTGCACCGTGCGATCAGAGCTCCTGCTCCCTCTGGGCCTACTGCAGCTGGTGGCTCCGCTTCTGCTTCAGGCCCACCTTCTATCCCCACCTTACCGCCATGGGCCCCTCGGTACACCCGAACGGATGGGACGTTCGTGAAACCGAACGAGACCATGCTGAAGGATGGCCAGACCGCCATAGCGTACTATAGGAGCATGTGGACCCCGAAAGACCTTGAGGCGGCAAAGGGCCTATCCCAGAAGGATGTGTTCAGCCGCTTTCACCAATCTGCTATGGAGGTGACTTTTATTTTCCAACTCATGAATTCTCTCATATTATTTGGTCTTGCCTTCGCCCGACCTGACTATTGGCTTAACCGTTCTTAATGTTCACCTATGCAGACATTGTTCGGAATGATGGCAATGCAGAAGCAGGTGGAGATGGGGAACGCCAGGGCTCGTAAGTTTTCTGATAGCCTGGAGGTGGCTAATAAAGAAAACGACCTTCTCGCCATGAAGAATACCGAGGTACTGGCTCGGCTTGACAAAATTGAACAAGAGAGAGATGTCCTAAAGAAGGAGAATGACTCCCTTCAGGATGAGAAGGATGCCCTCCAGCTTGAGAAGAGCGTCTGGCAGACTGAGCGTGAATCAATTAGAGAAGAAAAGGCAAAACTCCAGCGCCTTCTGGCTGATGAACAGTCTGCTCGGATGGCTTTTGAGAAAAGAGCTCTGGACGAGCGTACAGCTCTGATCGATGCGATCAACAGAGTGAGCGGTGGGATGCTGGCTCTTCACGCTCGGTTCTCAAGGGTCGGTGCTCTTAGGTATGCTCAAGGATTCCGGGAAGGTTTCGCCGACCGGGTTCCGGATGAGGGACAGACCAGCTCCACTCCGGATGAGGTCGACAAGGATCTGGGGATCGAACCTCTGGGGGTCTATGTCGACCCAGAACCCACCGAAGCGAAGCGCATATTCGATGAGTGCCAGGACATTGCTTCCTCAAGGATCATCACAGCTCCTCCTACCGCTCTGCCTCTGACCGCTCCTCAATCGTCAACCGTGGTACCTTCCATAGCCACTGCTGACGCTGAGCCCCAGCCGAACGATTCAGTCATTCATCTTGATTCCCCACCTCGTGAAGGTGAGACGGCTAATGGGGCCGAGGAGGCG